GCACGAACATGGACAGTGTGCAGACAAGGACTTCGCGAGGGGAGGCCGCATGTCAGCAGAAAGGCAAAGGGAGATGTGTGGCTCGGCGCATGGAAAATGAGATACTTCAGGAATCCCTGTCGTTGTGGTTGTTGACTCCGTGGGCCCGACTTCTCCATGGTGGCAAACAAAGGAAAAATTCCAGACGAATCGGAATTTGGAATTGTAAATAGAAGAAGCAGCTGGCCGAGCTTTGTGGTCCGGTTTCTGGACGGAAAACCAGCCGGAGTCTTTTACCGCAGGCAGTCCAGAACAACAAACGGGGGTCCTTGGGTGTCTCCCCACTTCCCAGGGGGATGCGCTGCCCCTGCGCATCACGCGGATCTACACAGAAGGACCAGCCAGGGGTTCTTGCGTGCTCAGCCTCATGGGTTTTTCCTCGACGTGCGCGGAGGTGGGAAAGGAGCACACCGTTGTAATGTGAGGAAAACCTGGCACGGCACGACGAGGTTATGAGATGCGCGTCCCTTGCCTTAAGCGTGCGTTGTCTAGTGCTCGGAATACTTCTTATGAACCGAGCATGTGGGGTCTTGCCTGCCTCTTGGTGCAGAACAGAATACAGTGAGTTCTCGACTTACGGCCACAATGGAGCACCAAATTCCCTTCGCTAAGTGAGACAGTGCTTAAGGGAGCTTTTCCCTATTGTACGACCGTTCTGGCCACCGCTGTTCAGTGAATCCTTGCAGTCCTTAAGTGAATCGTATGGTCAGTAAGCGAATCTGGCTTCCCCGTTGACTATGCTTGTCAGAAGGTTGCAAAAAGGGGATCGCGTGACCACGGGACCCTGCGACCGTCATAACTAGGAGTCAGTTCTGCCAAGCATCTGAATTTTGATCATGTGACCGCAAGGATGCTGCAACGGTCGTGAGTGCGAAAAAGGGTCATTGGTCACTTTTTTTAGTGCGGTTGTAACGGTCAAACGGTCCCTAAACGAGCTGTTGTAAGTCGGAGCCTATCTGTAATAATAAAAGAATAAGAGTTGGAAGGGACCTTGGAGGTCATCTACTCCAACCCCCTGCTCACGCAGGAGATCTGTACTAGGGATTCGAACCGCCGAACTGCCGACCTTTCTGATCGACAAGCTCCGTGTCTTCCCTCCGTGGGCCACCTCGAGAGCGTCTTCAACTTTGCCCACTTCTAGTGATTCATTCCCCTCCGGATTTTGCACACCCCGTCACACCGCGACGGTCATACTTTGCTCCCCGTTGCACAAACCGACGTGCGATGGGGCCGTTTTGTGATTCGGCCTTGCGGCTTCCTCCTCCCTCGTGCATGGAGGCGTGCAGGGAAGTCCTGCCAGCTGCTCACTTCCCCTTTCTCTCCCCCCACTCCGCCTTCCACTCGGCTGCTTGGCAGGCGTGCAAGCAACGCACGAGGGTTGTGCCCCGGCTCGGCCCGTTGTAACCGCAACCGCCCTGCCTGCCTGCTTGGGAGCCAAACTTAGCTCGGGGCTGTTCCAGAAATAGCCACGGCCGGTTCTTAGCCACATCTGGGGCTGGAGGGGACGGGGGGAAAGACGAGACCCCCACCCAGGTTTTCTTTACCGAGCCCGACGTGGTGGGTGGGTTCCCACGGATCGTGTCTGGTTATAAAAAGCTTGTCCTGACCACACGAAAGATGGGATTTGGCCGGTTCGTCTGTCTGGCTCCGATTTCTGGCAGGACACGGCCGGAGAGGGGTGGGTGAGTCACAGGCACTGGGGGGCGGGGTGGACATAGCCCTCCCTTCCCGTGAGGTCTCTTCGGCGTGGGAAAAAACAGCAGCTCCCAATTCCGGTCGAATTGGAAAGGATTGGGAGAGAAAGTTGAGCCAGGTTTTGTCCTGAGGGAGAAAAAATACTTCATTTATTCATTCATTCATCCCGGAGCTGCTTCGCTGAGCTCTGCCCATTTTACAGATGGAAAGATGGAGGGAACCGAAAAAAAGCCGGTTGGGTCTCGTGGCTAAAGCACCAGGCAGGCGAACGGTTTTAATCTGAAGAGAGCTGGAAGCAGGGGTGAAATCCATCAGGTTCTGACAGGTTCTGGAGAACCGGTAGCGGAAATTTTGAGCAGTTCGGAGAACCGGTAGCGGAAATTTTGAGCAGTTCGGAGAACCGGTAGCGGAAATTTTGAGCAGTTCGGAGAACCGGTAGCAGAAATTTTGAGTAGTTCGGCGAACCGGTAGCGGAAATTTTGAGTAGTTCGGAGAACCGGCAAAGACCACCTCTGGCTAGCCCCAGAGTGGTGAGGGAATGGGGATTTTGCAGTATCCTTCCCCTGGAGTGGGATGGGAATGGATATTTTGCAATATCCTTCCCCTGGAGTGGAGAGGGAATGGAGATTTTGCAGTATCCTTCCCCTGCCATGCCCACCAAGCCACGCTCACCAAGCCACACCATGCCCCCAAGCCACGCCCACAGAACCGGTAGTAAAAAAATTTAGATTTCACCACTTGCTGGAGGTCTTCTAGGCTCAAGAAGAAGACCCTATAATACCAGTGACGGCGAAACTTTTCAGCACCGAGTGCCGAAACCGGAGCGCGCGGACATGCCGGAAACCGGAGGAGCAGCCCGTTGCTCGCCCAGGTTCCGGTGCTCCGGGCCGCTGGTCTTCAAGCGCGTGGGAGCGCCGGAAATTGGAAAAGCAGTCGCCCGGAAAACATACACACGCCGGGAAGAAGATCTTCCGGCACACGCATGCGCACCGACCACCTGGGCTTCCGGTTTCTGGCATGCACACGCACGCCGGTCAGCTGGTGCGCACCAGAAACCGGAAAACCTGGTGGCTGGTGCACATGCGTGTGCCGGAAAATCATCCTCCTGGTGCGCACATGCACACTGAGTGACTCCTCTTCCAATTTCCGGCGCTCCCAGATGCGTGAAGACCAGCTGCCGGAGCCCGGAAGAGCAACGGGCGATGGCTCGTGTGCCCGGAGAGATGGCTCTGTGTGCCACTTGCGGCACGCGTGCCATAGGTTCACCATCACGGCTCTATACCGTTTCAGACAAATATGTAATGCAATCAAAATAGAGCAGAAAGGGACATCGGAGGTCTTCTAGCTCAAGCATTTACCATTTCAGATAAGTATCCAGTCTCTTCTTAAAAACATCCAGTGATGTAACACCCACAATTTCTGGTGGCAAGGAGTTCCACTGGTTAATTGTCCTCACTGTTAGGAAATTCCTCGTTTATCTAGTGACCGTTCGGAGTTACCACGGGATTGAAAATAGTGAGTTACGACCGGTTTTCATACCTGTGACCGTTGCAGCCCCCTCCTGGTCACGTGGTCCCAATTCAGACGCTTAGGGCCCGGACTCGTACTTAACGACGGTGTCCGTGTCCTGGCGGCGTCCCCTTTTGTGACCTTCCGACAAGGGAGACGCCAGATTCACTGAACAACGCCCGGGTGACTCATTTAATAGCTGCAGCGATTCACTTAACAAGAGCGGCGAGAAAAGTCGTAAAACGGGGCAAAGCTCACTTAGCGCGTGTTTCACTTAACGACGGAAAGGTTGGGCTCAATTGCGGTCGTCAATCGAGGACTACTTGTAGAAATGAGGAGACCCCGAGTTCTAGTTCTGCCTTAGGCATAAAAGCCAGCTGGGGGATTCTGGGTGACTTCTAGTCCATTGTTTCCCAACCTTAGCTGCTGGAAGATGGGCGGACTTCAACTCCCAGAATTCCCCAGGCAGCCATGCTGCCTGGGGAATTCTGGGAGTTGAAGTCCGCCCATCTTCCAGCCTAAGCACTGTATCTAGCTCATAGTCTGCCTTTGGCTGCCTCTTTCCCCCCCCTCCCATCAGCTGGCCAGGCAGTAGCAATCGCTGATCGCGAGTGCGGCTCTCATTTATCGCGAGTGCGGCCCTCATTTATCTCTATGGTTTCAGACCCCTCTGGAAGCTCAAGGCGAAAGCTGATTGGTGGCCGTCGGGAGGAGGGGGCGCGATTGGCTGCTTGGCTGGAGGAAAGAGAGCACAAGGCGTCTCGGCTATAGAAACAGCCGGCGGGGCAGGGGTTAACCTCGGAGGCGGGCGAAACAAAGAGGCCCCGCCTTCTCAGCTTCCAATCCAGGCGTTCCATTGGACGCGGGGCGAGAAGGTGTCCTCCCTCCCGCGCTGATAGGCGGGGCCCGCGCTGATGGGCGGGAGATTAAAAAGAAAAAAAAACACACTGCCCAGGGTTAACCCTCTCCTGCCCGGAGCGAAGTGAGTTAATTGGGAACGTGGGATGGAAACGACCCCCGAAAGCGGCGGAAAAGGCAGCCTCTTCCGCCTCTCCGGGCTTTGGACGCTGGGGTCGACTTCCACGTGCTGAAAGTAGGGCTGGAGATGAAAAAAAAAAGGGGGGAAGCCGAGGCTTTTGCAAAGATGCGGGTTCAGAGAGACGCGTGTCGTGGGAATGCTCCCTAAAAGCGTGTCGGGATGATGATGATGATTATTATTTAAGAAACTCTAAAATGAAACCTGGGTCCTTTTCCCCCGTAGGGAAATGCATGCATCTCTGGATTTTATACCCCCGTCCCTTTCCCCTTTTTCTTTTAGAGGGACTACAACTCCCATCGCTCCCAGCCAGAGCCAAGGAAAGCTCTGGCCCATCCTAGAACTCGGCTCAGAAGCTGGAAGGGAAAATTGCTGCTTTTTTCCAAACCCGGCTTCTTTCCACCCGCTCCCAAATCCCCCATTTCCCCCTTCCAAAATCGCATTCACACAACCTAACAACCTTTAGGATTTTTTTTTTTAAGGGTTCTGGGTGCGAAAGTTCCCCCTAAAAAGAGGGAAAAGGCTATTTCCAAGCTTGGGAATCGGTGGGCCACGTAGAAACCCCGACCCTTCCCGCCTTCCCGGGTTTTTTGGGGGGTGTGTGCAAAAAACAAGGGAGTCAACGGGGTTGTCGGAACGCACATTTGGGGTGGTCCAAAGCGTTATAGGTGCAAATGTCTGATTTTTTTTTCCCCTCTCTCTCTCTCTCCTTTTCTCGCAGGATTATATGTGGTTGTGACCGCCGGAGGCTTTAGACCGGAGGAGGTCTAAATTATCAGCGGCTGGGGGGGGGCGCCCGTCGCCTGGATCTGGGGGGGTGGAGGGTGGGGAACGAAGACGCGTCCACAGCGGCAGAAAGGTAAGAGATGGGCTTTGGGAAAGGGTGGGCTTTGGGGAAGGGGGTGCCTGGGGTGCACGAGAGATGAGGATTTGGGGCCTGGGGCCGTCAAACAGGATTAAAAGTACAAAATGGCTCCGCTAATAACATGGCTGGAAGGTAGTTCTTATATCAGGGGTCCCCAAATCTGGCCAATTTAAGCCTGGTGGGCTTCAATTCCCAGAATTCCCCAGCCAGCTCTCTCTCTCTTTTTTTTTTCTTCACTTTACTGAAGTCAAGATATATGACGTTTACTGTATACCCACCGTCTATTAAGAAAGTTATCCTACATGACTGGCTGGGGACTTCTGGGAGTTGAAGTCCAGCAATCTTAAAGTGGCTGAGGAATTCTGGGAGTTGAATCCACCAGTGTTAACAGTGACTAAGGAATTGTGGGAGTTGAAGTCCACAAGTCTTAAAGTGACTGAGGAATTCTGGGAATTGAAATCTACTAGTATTAAAGTGGCTGAGGAATTCTGGGAGTTGAATCCACCAGTGTTAAAAGTGACTAAGGAATTCTGGGAGTTGAAGTCTACTAGTCTTAAAGTGACTGAGGAATTCTGGGAATTGAATCCACCAGTGTTAAAAGTGACTAAGGAATTCTGGGAATTGAAATCTACTAGTATTAAAGTGGCTGAGGAATTCTGGGAGTTGAATCCACCAGTCTTAAAGTGACTGAGGAATTCTGGGAGTTGAAGTCCACCAGTCTTAAAGTGGCTGAGGAATTCTGGGAGTTGAATCCACCAGTGTTAAAGTGACTAAGGAATTCTGGGAGTTGAAGTCCTCCAGTCTTAAAGTGACTGAGGAATTCTGGGAGTTGAAGTCCACCAGTCTTAAAGTGACTGAGGAATTCTGGGAGTTGAAGTCCACCAGTCTTAAAGTGGCTGAGGAATTCTGGGAGTTGAATCCACCAGTGTTAAAGTGACTAAGGAATTCTGGGAGTTGAAGTCCTCCAGTCTTAAAGTGACTGAGGAATTCTGGGAGTTGAAGTCCACCAGTCTTAAAGTGACTGAGGAATTCTGGGAATTGAAGTCTACTAGTCTTAAAGTGACTAAGGAATTCTGGGAGTTGAAGTCCTCCAGTGTTAAAGTGATTGAGGAATTCTGGGAGTTGAACTCCACCAGTCTTAAAGTTGCCAAAAATCGGGAGACCCGCATTTTATATCGTTGATTAATGAGCTATTATTTGGGCCTTCTGGTCTGTCTGGACCTCTGGCAACTATGTCTGTGCGTCTTCAGACATGGTTTGTCTTTCCTTTCTTGGTCCCAAACCATCATTTGGGCCTTGTGCCAAAGGAGAGTCAGTTTGGTCTGGTGGTTAAGGCGCTGGTCTAGAAACAGGGAGATGGTGAATTCTAGTCCCGCCTTAGGCATGAAGGATGGCTGGGTAACTATGCCAATCACCAGGAGACTGGGAGTTCTAGTCCTACCTTAGGCATGAAGGGTGGCTGGGTAACTTTGTGCCAATCACCAGGAGGCTGGGAGTTCTAGTGCTGCCTTAGGCATGAAAGCCGGCTGGGTGACTTTGTGCCAATCATCAGGAGACTGGGAATTCTAGTCCCATTTTAGGCATGAAGGGTGGCTGGGTAACTTTGTGCCAATCACCAGGAGACTGGGAGTTTTAGTCCCGCCTTAGGCATGAAAGGTGGCTGGGTAACTTTGTGCCAATCACCAGGAGACTGGGAGTTCTAGTCCCGCCTTAGGCATGAAGGGTGGCTGGGTAACTTTGTGCCAATCATCAGGAGACTGGGAATTCTAGTCCCATTTTAGGCATGAAGGGTGGCTGGGTGACTTTGGGCCAATCACCAGGTGACTGGGAGTTCTAGTCCCGCCTTAGGCATGAAGGGCAGCTGGGTAACTTTGTGCCAATCACCAGGAGACTGGGAATTCTAGTCCCACCTTAGGCATGAAGGGTGGCTGGGTAACTTTGTGCCAATCACCAGGAGGCTGGGAGTTCTAGTGCTGCCTTAGGCATGAAAGCCGGCTGGGTGACTTTGTGCCAATCATCAGGAGACTGGGAGTTCTAGTCCTGCTTTAGGCATAAAGGGTGGCTGGGTAACTTTGTGCCAATCACCAGGAGACTGGGAGGTATAGTCCTGCCTTAGGCATGAAAGCCGTCTGGGTGACTTTGTGCCAATCATCAGGCGACTGGGAGTTCTAGTCCTGCTTTAGGCATAAAGGGTGGCTGGGTAACTTTGTGCCAATCACCAGGAGACTGGGAGGTATAGTCCTGCCTTAGGCATGAAAGCCGGCTGGGTGACTTTGTGCCAATCATCAGGAGACTGGGAGTTCTAGTCCTGCTTTAGGCATAAAGGGTGGCTGGGTAACTTTGTGCCAATCACCAGGAGACTGGGAGGTATAGTCCTGCCTTAGGCATGAAAGCCGTCTGGGTGACTTTGTGCCAATCATCAGGCGACTGGGAGTTCTAGTCCTGCTTTAGGCATAAAGGGTGGCTGGGTAACTTTGTGCCAATCACCAGGAGACTGGGAGGTATAGTCCTGCTTTAGGCATGAAAGCCGTCTGGGTGACTTTGTGCCAATCATCAGGCGACTGGGAGTTCTAGTCCCGCCTTAGGCATGAAAACCGATTGGGTGATTTTGGGCCAATCCCTGTCTCTCTCTCTCTCAGCCCACCTCACAGGGTGGTTGTGGGAAAAGCAGGAAGGAGTATCAGAGACGTTTCATACCTTCAGTTACTTATAAAGTAAAAAAAAACAACCCGGCAAGATAAAAATGTAATAAATGTAATAAAACTAAGGAAGGACTAGAACTCACACGCTCCTGGTTTCCGCCTTGCTGCCTTTTATTAAACTGCCACCCAAATGGGCCCTTTGTCCTGATAAGCTCCCATTATCAGAGCACAGAAGCTCAACCGAAGGGAAGAGGCTCGTATTTGTAGAAAGGGGGTATTTAGGAAAAGAGTTAAATTAAATCAAGCGGTATAAAAAGGGCCCAGGGCTTTGGGGGTGGGGGGGAATGTCTCCATCCTCTGCCGGTCCGCCCCCCTAACCCCGTCTCTCTTTTCCGCCCGCAGACTGGATGCATCGAACGTTGGAACAGTTAGGGGTCCGTGCTGGGCGGGACCCTTTTTCTCTCGGCAACCTGGGTTGTAGCGGAGCCTGGAGTTCGTGCCATTCTCGTCCATGGCTCCCGGGGGGCAGGTATTCTGGCGAGGGGGAAGGGGGCGGGTTCGCGGGACAGCCCTGGTGGGGGTGTTGGGCAGTGGTGGTGGTGGGGGGTCAACAGCTCCCGGGGTGTCTCAATCAGCTTGGCTTCCCCCCCCCTCCCCACTCATTTTTGCTTCCAAATCCTTGTTTCTGCAAATGAAATTTGAGAATTATTGGTATAAAATAAGTTTGCTAGATAAATTTGTGTATGTACACGTAGTCCTCGACTTACAACCATTCGTTTAGTGGCTGTCGAGAGTGACGATGGCACTTTAAAAAAAAAAAAGTGAAGTTACGATGTTTGTCACACTTAACGACCGTTTGCAGCGTTACCCCCCCCCGATGGGCGTAAAAAGGGAGCGGGAACTCACTTAACAGCTGTCTCGCTTAGCAACGGAAACACTGGCGTCGATTGTGGTTGTACGTCGAGGACTGTTCCCTGTATGCAGAGTAAATGATGGGCTCTGCCGCAGAGGTGGTCCTCGACTTACGAACGTTTGCTTAGCAACCGTTTTGAAGTGATGACGGAACCCCACGAAGGGACTTTTAGGACCCCAAATTCAAAGTTCGACGGCCCTCAAGCGATCGCAATTTGGACGCTCGGCAAACCGATCCGGATTGAGGGCTGTTTGCCGCATCCCTCAGTTGTGACCACGCCCGATAATGTTTTTTTTTTGTCAGAAACGAGTATTTATTGTTATTTTCCTGGCAAAAAAAACCACCATTCCAGATAAGGGGTTTTGCTTAACGACTGCATTGTTCACTTAACAACTTTTCATTCTCTTAATGGCCACGGGGATTCGTTTAATGCCCGCCACGAAAATGTCATAAAATCCAATTTCTGCTTATATGGTGAATTGCTTAACGATGTATATAACTCATGACCGTAATTCCAGGCTCAATTTGCGGCCGTAAGTCGAGGACTACCTGCAGTCTGCTAACGTGGGCCTTAGTGCCCCTGAGCGAGGAAGAGAGGGGGTCGTTGGTGGTCTCTGAGCCTGGTGGTTTCCTTGCAAGACGTTTCCCGACCCAACTAGGCAACATCATCAGTTTTGGATATGCAAACACCTTTCCCTGCCGGCCCTGATGAGGTTGCCTAGTTCGGTCGTGAAACGTCTGCAAGAAGACCACCAAACAGAGACCACCAAGGACCCCTCCTTTCAATCCTGAGCTGCAGCTATTCCCCTTTATTGAGCTCAGAAGAAGAGTGGTGCGGTGGCCTAGAGACGGAGCTCTCGCCTCCCAATCAGGAGGCTGTGAGTTCGATACTAGGTCGGGGCGTAAAATTGGAAGTGTCTTGGCGACGTTTCGACGAAGTCTCATTCGTCATCTTCAGGCTGGTGTTCTCGGCTTCGTGCTTCCAGGAGCAATGTGAGATCGCAGCTGTCTCTTCCTTTTAACTGCTAGTGGAGTGTGAGCTGATTGGGTGGGAACTTGGCTGTGTTCTGATTGGGTGGAGGTGTGTTCTGATTGGTTAGGGGCTGGGCTGTGCTCTGATTGGCTGGGGGGTGTGTTCTGTTTGGGTGGGGGCTTGGTTGTGCTCAGCTTAAACCCAGCTCAAACCCACACTGATAATGAGCCACGACCAAGGACCAGAAGCCAGACCGCAGCTGCATCATTAGCCACTTTAAACCCCTCCAATCCATACATGAAGCAGACTGACACCACCACCATGAAGAGCTCGCACGGCCACAAACACGAAGCCAAACAACAACAACGCAGCTCACCAGCTCAAATCCCCCTGCAACTCAGACTAAGCTGAGCACAACCAAGCCCCCACCCAAACAGAACACACCCCCAGCCAATCAGAGCACAGCCAAGCCCCTAACCAATCAGAACACACCTCCACCCAATCAGAACACAGCCAAGTTCCCACCCAATCAGCTCACACCCCCACTAGCAGTTAAAAGGAAGAGACAGCTGCGATCTCACATTGCTCCTGGAAGCACGAAGCCGAGAACACCAGCCTGAAGATGACGAATGAGACTTCGTCGAAACGTCGCCAAGACTTCCAATTTTACGTGGGAGAAGACCCGAATAACCAAAGACCTACATATATATATATATATATATATCTGCCGAACAAAACTCCTCATTTGCAACAGGAAAGGCATCCGGCCAGTAAAAACACTCAGCTCCATTCGGTTGCCTCAAGGGATTACGGAAGACAATTGAGCTCAGAAGACCAGAGAATAAACTCTCTTGGTGGGCTCGTCCCGTTTATCCAGAGGGTCTTTTTTTCCCCCCCCTTCCCCAAATTCCCGCCAGCTTCAACCAGGCTTCGCTTCAGCTGCTGCCCTGCCTTTCCGTCGGAAGACGTTTTGTCCGCGTTCGCTTGCCCCGTCGAAGCCGTTTCTGCCTCCCCTTCCTCTCCCAAATTGAGCGGGTGGGCAGTTTCGATGTCGCCTGCTCTGCTTCCTTCTCCCTTCGCCTCGAAAGAGAGAGAGAGAGACCCCCCTGCCCCAAATGGTCACGAGGGGCCTTCGACGAAGAAAGCCACCTCCGTTCTGCCTTTCTCACCCGCCCCGGTTTTCCCCCCTGCCAGGTGTTCCGCCAGTGCCGTCCAGCCACCTCTGCCCCTACCGTTGCCGCCCAGCCATGGTGCTAATTTGGGGCAGTACAGCAAAGGCTACTATGCCCCCGGGTGAGTCTCGCGCCCGGCCTGGCCTGGGGGGTGGGGCTGGGCCACCTGGTTTTGCATGGGAGGGGAGGAGAAAGGCCCAAGATACCCCCTTCCCCATAGATTGCACCTGAGAAAAGATGCAAGCAGACCATTCCTTCCCAGCACTGATGATGTTACCTAGCTGGGTCATGAAACGTCTACAAGAAAACCAGTTCACAGCGCACCAGGGACCCCACTGTCCTTTTCTCCTCCTCCTCCTCCTCTTTTCTTCTTCCTCTTCCTTTTACCAAACCCCACCCCCTTCCAGCACTGATGATGTTCCCTAGTTGGGTCATGAAACGTCTACAAGAAAACCACCGAGCTTAGAGAGCACCCAAGACCGCACAGTCCTCCCTCTTCCTTCTCCTCTTCTCCTCTCTTTCCTCCTCTTCTCCGCAAACCTCCCTCCCTCGTAACACTGATACTGTTACCGAGTTGGGTCATGGAACGTGCGCAAGAAAACCACCAAGCTCAGAGTGCACCATGGGCCCTACAGTCGTCGTCGTCCTCCTCCTCCTTCTCCTCCTCCTCCTCCTCCTCCTCCTCCTCATCATCATCTCCGCAAACCTCACTGCCTCCTAGCACTGATAGTGTTACCAAGCTGGGTCACGAAACGTCTTGCAAGAAACCCGTACCCCCTTTACCCCCCCCCCCCCCCCGATTTAAGAGACCCCCCCAAGGACCCTCCCACTCAACCCTGAGCTGCAAATTTTCCTTCTCCATGGACCGCAAACCTCCTGCTCGCTTGCTTCGTTCTCCTGCTTAACTCTGTGCTGCACAGCTCTTGTCCCTTCGGCTTCTTTGCTGCCCCCCCACCCCACCCCAAAAACCCTTGCTCTCATTCTTAGACCCCCCCCTCATCCCATATCTGTAGGAACCCCCTTTGAGACCCCTGTAACGTTCCCTAGCATCCCTTCCCGAGTCGCCGGATTTCTTCGCTGTCTGCTCATCGCTTCTCCTTTCTTGTTCCTCTCTCTCTCTCTCTCTCTCTCTCCATCCCCCCCCACAGGAATCTTCCCCCCCGCCCCCTCCACGGGAAGCTGGAGGCCATCCATGGCTGCGTCCAGGCTCTGCTCCGGGACCAGGGCCAGCCTCACCTCTGGGAACAGCTGGGGGAGATCTACGAGTCCGAGCAAGATTGCGAGGAAGCCATTCGGTGCTATCAAAACGCCGCCCGGTACCAGCGCGACTATGGGAGCTACGGAGAAATGCACGCCCGGATCGGGAGGCTACAACAGGTAGGAGGAGGGCCACGGGACGGGAGGGGTGTGCCGGAGGTGGGCCTTGGGGAGGAGCAGCAGAGGGGGGGGTTGGATGACCGGAGGGAGCCGGGGCGTTCCCATCCTTCTTTGCTAAAAAAAAAAAGAAAAGAAAAGAATGTTTAGTTTTATCTAATTTTCACGAAAAAATTCAAGGCGGCGAGCTTATTCCTGTGAGGTGGGTTGGGCTGAGAGAATGACTGGCATCACATGGTCACCCAACGGAATTTGATGCCTGAGGCGGGACTAGAACTCACCGTCTCCTGGGGATTGGCCCACAGTTACCTAGCTGGCTTTGATGTTTAAGGTGGGACTAGAACTCCCAGTCTCCTGGTGATTGGCTCGAAGTGATCCAGCCAGGTTGGATACCTAAGGTGGGACTAGAACTCCCAGTCTCCTGGTGATTGGCCCCAAGTCACCCAGCACGCTTTCCTGCCTAAGGTGGGACTCGAACTCCCAGTCTCGTGGTGATTGGCCCCAAGTCGCCCAGCACGCTTTCCTGCCTAAGGCGGGTCTAGAATTCCCAGTCTCCTGGTTATTGGCCCCAAGTCACCCAGCACGCTTTCCTGCCTAAGGCGGGACTAGAACTCCCAGTCTCCTGGTGATTGGTCCCAAGTCACCCAACACGCTTTCCTGCCTAAGGCGGGACTTGAACTCCCAGTCTCCTGGTGATTGGCCCAAAGTCACCCAGCACGCTTTCCTGCCTAAGGCGGGACTAGAATTCCCAGTCTCCTGGTGATTGGCCCCAAGTCACCCAGCACGCTTTCCTGCCTAAAGTGGGACTAGAACTCCCAGTCTCGTGGTGATTGGCCCCAAGTCGCCCAGCACGCTTTCCTGCCTAAGGCGGGACTAGAACTCCCAGTCTCCTGGTGATTGGTCCCAAGTCACCCAACACGCTTTCCTGCCTAAGGCGGGACTTGAACTCCCAGTCTCCTGGTGATTGGCCCAAAGTCACCCAGCACGCTTTCCTGCCTAAGGCAGGACTAGAACTCCCAGTCTCCTGGTGATTGGCCCAAAGTCACCCAATTGGCTTTTGTGCCCAAAACAGAACTAGAATTCACCGATCTCCCTGTTTCCTGCTCGGTGCCTTAACCACTGCCCCAAACTACTGCCCCAAATATTATTGAGGAAGACAAAGAAAGCACCCCAGTCTTTTGTTCATCAGCCTCCCCCAGGTCCAAAAGCCAAGCTAAGAACAATCTGGCCTGGTCGGTTTCTTTGGATGGGAGGCCACCAGGAGATATTGCGGCTCTTCCAGTGGGAAACCGTTTCCCAAACTCGGTGAAGAAAAGCTTTTAACTTTTTTTTTCTTTCTTTTTTAACGTGGTTTCTGTCTCTTCTTCCTCCCACCCCATCCTTTCCCCCTTTTTTTCAGGCTCAGCTGTGGAATTTCCATTCGGGGGGGTCATCTCATCACCGGCACAAAGTTTTACCCCCTTTACAACAAGTCTGGAACCTGTTACATCTTGAGGTAAGAAGCCCCGTATTCACCCCCGTTCCCCACAAACGGGGGAGGCTCCATCTCTACTTCTCCCCCCCCCCCCCCGCTTTCAACAAATATTTCGGGCCGATTTTTCTCGTTCTGCAACCAAGGCGTGTCGATCACTGTTTCCAGATGTTTTTGGGAGAATTGCTCCCTTGGGGAATTTTTTTTTTGCATTTTTCCAAATATTAACTAAAAAATATAAAAGAGGAGCCGGGTTTTCCCCCCCTTTTTTTAAAAAAAAAAATCTGCATCTTTTATTTAAAGAAAATGGCTGAAACTCTTCCTTTGAGGTCCCTTTCCCCCTCCCGCTTAAGCAGTGATGGTGAATCTTTTCGGCACCGAGGGCCAAAACCAGAATGCGCGTGAATGCGTGAGTGCCGGAAACCAGCTGGCTGGCATGCCTGTTTTTTGGCCATTTTTGAGGCTGTTTCCGGGCTTTTTTTAGGCCGTTTTCCTCTCTGTGGGCACGCGGTTCTTCTGGTTTCCAGCGCATACATGTGCACAGGTCAATTGGTCTTCGCGGGCGCTGGAGCACCAGAAAATGGCCCACAAAATGACCCGAAAAACAGTTTGTTTTTTGGTTGTTTTTCAGCCCGTTTTCAGCCATTTTGCACTGGAACGTGCGTGCATCGCTCGCACCGGAGCGCTGGAGTACCGAAACTCGAAGACCAGCTGGTTAGCGTGCACGTGCCTGTTTTTTTGCCTTTTGGGGCCGTTTCCGGACTATTGTTAGGCTGTTTTTCAGGCAAAAACAGCCGGAAAACAGCCCAAAAATGGCCTGGAAATAGCCTGGAAAACACCCCGGAAAATGGGCCAAAAATGGCTCAGAAAATGGCCTAAAACTCAGCCTTTTTTTTTTTGTTTTTCGGCCGTTTTTAGGCCGTTTTCAGCACTGAAATGCCTAAACTGGAACACCCCTGCAAGTGCGCGCATTGGAGCGCTGGAGTACCGGAAACTTGAATACCAGCTGGCTAGCGTGCACATGCCTGTTTTTTTGGCCGTTTTTGGGGCCGTTTCCGGTTTGTTAGCCGTTTTTTGGGCATTTTTCAGGCAAAAACAGCGGAAAACAGCCCAAAAATGGCCTGAAAATAGCCCGGAAAACGGCCCAAAAATGCCTCAGAAAACAGCCCAGAAAATGGCCCGAAAAACAGCCTCTTTTTTTGGGTTGTTTTTAGGCCGTTTTCAGCCCTCAGTCCCCAAACTGGAACGCCCGTGCATGTGCGCGCATTGTAGCACTGGACTATTGGAAACTCGAAGACCAGCTGGCTAGTGCGCACATGCCTGGTTTTTTTGCCGTTTTTGGGGCCATTTCCAGGCTATTGTTAGGCCGTTTTTGGCCACTTTTCAGGCAAAAACAGCCGGAAAAACAGCCCCAAAATGGCCTGAAAATAGCCCGGAAAACGGCCCAAAAATGCCTCAGAAAACAGCCCAGAAAATGGCCCGAAAAACAGCCTTTTTTTTGGTTGTTTTTTAGGCCGTTTTCAGCCCTCAGTGCCCAAACTGGAACGCCCGTGCATGTGCGCGCATTGTAGCACTGGACTATTGGAATCGAAGACCAGCTGGCTAGTGCGCACATGCCTGGTTTTTTTGCCGTTTTTGGGGCCATTTCCAGGCTATTGTTAGGCCTTTTTGGCCACTTTTCAGGCAAAAACAGCCGGAAAACAGCCCCAAAATGGCCTGAAAATAGCCCGGAAAACGGCCCAAAAATGCCTCAGAAAACAGCCCAGAAAATGGCCCGAAAAACAGCCTCTTTTTTTGGGTTGTTTTTAGGCCGTTTTCAGCCCTCAGTGCCCAAACTGGAACAACTGTGCATGTGCGCGCATTGTAGCACTGGACTATCGGAAACTTGAAGACCAGCTGGCTAGTGTGCACATGCCTGTTTTTTTGCCGTTTTTGGGGCCATTTCCGGGCTATTGTTAGGCCGTTTTTGGGCCATTTTTCAGGCAAAAACACCCGGAAAACGGCCCAAAAAATGCCTCAGAAAACAGCCCAGAAAATGGCCCGAAAAACGGCCTCTTTTTTGGGGGTTGTTTTTAGGCCGTTTTCAGCCCTCAGTGCCCAAACTGAAACGCCCGTGCATGTGCGCCATTGTAGCACTGGACTATCGGAAACTTGAAGACCAGCTGGCTAGTGCGCACATGCCTGGTTTTTTGCCGTTTTTGGGGCCATTTCCAGGCTATTGTTAGGCCGTTTTTGGCCACTTTTCAGGCAAAAACAGCCGGAAAACAGCCCCAAAATGGCCTGAAAATAGCCCAGAAAATGGCCCGAAAAACAGCCTCTTTTTTGGGGTTGTTTTTAGGCCGTTTTCACCCTCATGCCCAAACTGGAACGACTTTGCATGTGCGCGCATTGTAGCACTGGACTATCGGAAACTCAAACAGCAGCTGGCTAGCGCCCCATGCCTGATTTTTTGCCGTTTTGGGGCCGTTTTCCGGGCTATTGTTAGGCCGTTTTTGGCCACTTTTCAGGCAAAAACAGCCGGAAAACAGCCCAAAAATGGCCTGAAAATAGCCCGGAAAACGGCCCAAAAATGCCTCAGAAAACAGCCCAGAAAATGCCCGAAAAACGGCCTTTTTTTTGGGGTGTTTTTAGGCCGTTTTCAGCCCTCAGTGCCCAAACTGGAACGCCCGTGCATGTGCGTGCCTTGTAGCACTGGACTATCGGAACTCAAACAGCACTGGCTGGCGCACGCATGCCTGATTTTTTGGTGTTTCTGGCCGTTTTGGCAGGTTTTCAGGCCATTTTTCGGCAAAAAACATCCCAAAGAACGGCTTGAAAACAACCTGAAATGGCCCAAAAACGGCCTATTTTTCAGGCCGTTTTCAGGCCATTTTCTGGTTCTCCAGCGTCCACGAAGATCTGCTGGCCTGCGTACATGTATGTGCTGGAAACCAGAAGAGCCGTGTGCCCACAGAAAGGCCCTAGCCCATTTCTGAGTGACCTCTTTCTGGGGGTTTTCTTTTTCTGTTGTTCTTGTCATTCCTGGATCCTTTTTTCGTTCTTTCTAAAAAAAAAAAATGCTATTTTTAAAATCATCCTTTCTTAAAAAATGCTTCCTTCAAGTCATTGCTAAAAATGAAGGAATTGCAAAATGGTTTCTGGAATACAGGTAGTCCTCGACTTACGACCACTACGGGGCCCAAAATTTCTGTTGCTAAGGGACACATTTTATAAGCGAGCTTCCCTCCGTTTTACGACCTGTCTTACCACCATTGTAAAGTGAGTCATTAAGTGAATCACACAACTGTTAAATGAATCCGGCTTGCCCGTTGACTTCGCTGGTCAGAAGGTCGCAAAATGGCCGTGACGCCCTAGGACACTACAACGGTCATAAGTGTGAAAAACAGTCATAAATCGCGTTTTTCAGGGCCGTTGTGTCTTCGAACGGTCACTAAACGAATGGTTGTAAGTCCAGGACTACTTGGGTCTGGATGAGTTTTGTGAAAACAACGTTTTTCAATCTATGTATCTTTTAAATTCCATGAACTTCAGCTCCCAGAATTCCCTGGTCAAGATGGCTGGCTGAGGAGTTCTGGGAGTTGAAGTCCACACATCTTAAAATCGCCAAGTTTGGAGACTCCTGTCCTAGAACAGCATTTTTCAACCTTTTAAGATGCATGGACTTCAACTCCCCGAATTCCCCACTCAACATAACTGGCTGAGGGGATTCTGGGAGTTGAAGTCCACAAGTCTTAGAGGGGCCAAGGTTGGAGAATCCCTCTCCTAGAACAGCGTTTTTCAATCTATGTATCTTTTAAATTGCATGAACTTCAGCTCCCAGAATTCCTTGGTCAAGATGACTGGCTGGAGGATTCTGGGAGTTGAAGTCTACAAGTCTTCAAGTGGCCAAGTTTGGAGAATCCCTCTCCTAGAACAGCATTTTTCAATCTAGGCAACTTTTAAGACGTATGGACTTCAACTCCCAGAATTCCCCACTCAAGATGGCTGGCTGGAGGATTCTGGGAGTCGAAGTCCACGCATCTTAAAACCACCAAGTTTGGAGACTGTTGTCCTAGAACAGCATTTTTCAACCTTTTCAGATATACATATGGACTTCAACTCCCAGAATTCCCTAGTTAAGATGGCTGGCTGCGGAATTCTGGGAGTTGAAGTCCACACGTCTTCCCTGTATTCGCGGAAAGACCTCGTGAGTCGGGTTTTAGCAGAAAAAAGCGAATATTTTCCGGACCAATTCTTCTCTCGCGCCTTCCCTCTCTGCTTCCCCAGAAAAGGAATTTCTCAGCTAAGCGCAACCCCCAACTCAAGAGGCCCGGCCCCCCCATGGAGCCCCCCGTGGTCCAGCCCATCCCGCCGGTCCAGCACCCAGCCCACCCGGGCCACAGCGAAGAGATGCCGGCTCCTATGAAAAGGCGGAGGAGCACTAGTCCCGACCAGGTAGCGAAGCCCTTGCCCGTCCCGTTCCCCCCCCCCTCTCCCCGCTAGCACTCTGCGCATGCTCCATGGCCTCCCATCCTTTTCGGCCGCTGCTTTCGCCTTTTGCTTGGGGTTGCTGGCATTTTTTTATTTTTTTAAGGGAGAAATCGTTCTGTAGGTCAGCCTCGTCTCTTGCTGGGACCTCTGGCTCCCCATCGAGGGGGGAAGGATGTGGGGCAACCGGGGGGGGGCGGGATAAGGGAAGGAGGAGGCGGTGGGGATTTGGAGGCTGTGACCCCTTTCCTCTTGCTCTCTTTCTGCCAATGCCTGCCGGGGAGCAGAATGGTGGTAATGGGGTGGGCCAGCACCTGTCCGGCCCCGGAGTCCCCGGCAATCCCCATTATCAGCTGCCCAAGCCTGGATTATGGAACCCCCTTCATGGAGACCTTTGGGGCCAGGAACGCAAGAACATGGCAGCCCCAGACAGACAAGTAAGGCGGACTCCCCACCTTAAGGCTAGGCCTCCCCAGGGAGGGAGGGAGGGAAGGAGGAAAAGAGGGAGGGAAGAAAGAAGGAAGGTAGACTGATTTTGAAGAGGAAGGGAAGGGAGAAATAGAAAAGTAAGGGACGGACGAAAAGAAAAGAGGAAGGGAAGAAGGATGGATGGAAGGAGAAAATATGGAAGGAAAGGAAGGAGAGATGGTGAAGAGAGGAAAGAAAAGGGAGGGAGGATGGACGGATGGATGGTGGAAAAGAATGGGACCGAGGAAGGAAGAAATGAATGAGCAATGGAGGAAAGAAGAGAGGAAGGAAAGGAAAAGAGGATGGGAAGAAGGATGGATGGATGGAAGGGGAAAAAGAAGAACGGAGAGAGGAAGGAAGGAAGGAAGGAAGGAGAGAGAGACGGAGAAAAGAAGAGAGGAAAGGGAAAAGGAAGGATAGATGGATGGAAGGAGGAAAAGGAAGGAAGGAACGAGAGATGGAGAAAAGAGGAAAGAGAACAAAGGGAGGGAGGAAGAATGGATGGATGGAAGGAAGGAAGGAACGAGAGATGGAGAAAAGAGGAAAGGAAAAAGGAAGAATATATGAATAGAAGGAGGAAAAGGAAGGAACGAGAGATGGAGAAAAGAAGAGAGGAAAGAGAACAAAGTGAGATAGGAGGCATGGATGGATGGAAGGAAGGAAGGAATGAGAGATGGAGAAAAGAGAGGAAAGGAAAAAGGAAGGATAGATGGATGGAAGGAAGAAAAGGAAGGAAGGAACGAGAGATGGAGAAGAGAAGAAATAGAACAAAGGGAGGGAGGAGGAATGGATGGATGGAAGGAAAGAACGAGAGATGAGAAAAGAAGAGGAAAGGGAAAAGGAAAGATAGATGATGGAAGGACGAAAAGGAAGGAAGGAACGAGAGATGAAAAGAAAGAAAAAAAGGGAGGAGGGATGGATGGATGGAAGGAAGGAAGGAAGGAACGAGAGATGGGGAAAAGAAGAAAGGAAAAAGGAAGGATAGATGGATGGAAGGAGGAAAAGGAAAGAAGGAACGAGAGATGGAGAAAAGAAGAGAGGAAAGAGAACAAAGGGAGGTAGGAGAGATGGATGGAAGGAAGGAAGGAAGGAACGAGAGATGGAGAAAAGAAGAGAGGAAAGGAAAAAGGAGAAAGGATAGATGGGTGGAAGGAGGAAAAGAAGAATGGAGGAAGGAAGGCGTATGACACGGCTGATAATCTAATGTTTGAAATTGAGGAGGGGGTCCCTGTGGAGGGCCGGGGGTGCCTCCCTGTCCTTTGTCTTCCCGATTAAACCGCCGGGAGTCCCTTGCTCTTGGGCGATGGGCAGATCACCAAATATTAGCGCCCCCTGCCCCTCCAGGGCCCAGCCTTTGCCCCCATGGGAGGGTGGGCAGCGGAGGTGAAGGTGGGGGTCCCTTTTGCCTGCAGTCTTGCCCGGGGTGGGGAGGGGGGGCGGTGGGCTTCCCTCGGGGCTCCCTGCTCTGCCTGCTCCTGGCTGCCTGCTTGGCTTGGCATCTGCAAAGGGCCGGATTCCAGGGGGGGCTGGGGGTGGGGTGGGGGGGAGATGGGGGGGGATCGCTTCGTCTTGCAAGGACGCTCCATGTGAACGGGAAAAGATCTTCATAGCAAAAATCCCTGAATTAATTAATTAATTAATTAATTTTCTTTCTTTCTTTCTTTCTTTCTTTCTTTCTTTCTTTCTTTCTTTCTTTCTTTCTTTTTCTTCCTTCCTCTTCCTCTCTCTCTTTCTTTCTCTTTCTCTTTCTTTTTTCTTTTTCTTCTCTCTTCCTTTCTCTTTCTTCTCCCTCCTATTTCTTTCTTTCTTTCTTTCTCTCTCTCTTCCTTATTCTTCCTTCCTTCATTTTCTTCTCCTTCCCATCTCTCTCTCTTTCTTTTTTCTCCCTCCCTTCTCCTTCCCATTTCTTCCTTCCTTTCTTTCTTTGCTTTTTTCTTCTTTCTTCCTTTCTCTTCCTTTCTTCTCCCTCCCATTTCTTTCTTTCTTCCTTCCTTCCTTCCTTCCTTTCTTCCTTTTTCTCTTTCCTTCCTTCTTTCATTTTCTTCTTCCCATCTTTCTTTCTTTCTCTCTCCCTCCCTCCATCCTTCTTTCTTTTTCCTTCCTTCCTTCCTTCCTTCCTTCCTTCCTTCCTTCCTTCCTTCCTTCCTCTTTTCTCAATCACTTTCATTTTCTCTTTTTCTCTGTCTCTCTCTTTCTCTTCCTCCTCCTTCCTCCCCCAGGAGCAGAGGAATTCAGTGGCTCATCCTTTCCCCTACCCGTCGCCCGCCTACAGCTCCCACCCGCCCCCCCCACCGCCTGCCGGCCATGGCGCCCACTCCCCGCACACCGCCAGCACACCGCGCCCCCCTCGAGCCCCACGGCTGCTCGGCCCGGCCCAACGGAAGTGACCTTAGAGACGGCCGAGTCCCCCGGGTGCGTCCAGACTCTACCACCACACCAGCAACGTCCGCCTGCGTGCCTTATGCCCCGCGCCCGACCCCAGGAGGAGCCACCAGCAGCAGCAAGACCACCTCACGGGGGCCGCTGGCCTCAGAAAGCCTTGTAAGTGGCCCGGAGGACTTAGGGGGTCCTAGGGCATGTTGGGTCCTCCTGGGCGGAGCCCTTGCAGAGGAAGAGAATGGAAGGGGGGGGTGTCACCTGGGGAAGGAGGGAGGGACGGAAGGAAAGATGATGGAGAGAGGGAAGGAAGGAAGAAAGGATGGAGGAAGGAAGAGAGAAGGGAGGGAAGGAAGGAAAGAAGAGGGAGGAAAGAAAAGAGGGAGAAAGGAAGGAAGAAAAGATGGATGGATGGAAGAGAGGGAAGGGAGGAGGGAGGAGAGGGAAGAAAGGAGAGAGGGAGTGAGGAAAGGAGAGAAAGGAAGGAGGGACAGAGGGAGAAAGGAAGGAAGGAAAGATGGATGGATGGAGAGGGAGAGAAGGAGGAAGAAAGGAGAGAGACCGGAGTGAGGAAGGAAGAGAAAGGGAGGGAGGAAGGAACAGAGAGAAGGGAAGGAGGAAGGGAAGAAGGAAGGAGAGAGAAGGGAGGAAGGACAGATGGAGGGAGGGAGAAAGGAAGGAAGGAAAGAGGGATGGATGAAAGAGGAAGGAAGGAGAGGGAGGGAAGAAGGAAGGAGGAGAGAGAGCAGAGTGAGGAAGGAAGAGAGAAAGGGAGTGAGGAAAGGGAGGAAGGAAGGACGGAGCGAGAAAGGAAGGAAGGAAGAGGATGGAGAAGAGAGAGGGTAGGAAGGAGAGGGAGGGAAGAAGGAAGGAAGGAGAGAGAGCAGAGTGAGGAAGGAAGAGAGAAAGGGAGGGAGGGAAGGAGGGAGGAAGAAGGAAGGAGAGAAAGGAGTGAGGAAAGGGAGGAAGGAAGGACGGAAGGAAGGAAAGATGGATGGAAGAGAGGGAAGGAAGGAGAGGGAGGGGAGAAGGAAGGAAGGAGAGAAAGGGAGGGAGGAAGGAAGAGAGAGAAGGGAAGGAGGGAGGGGGAAGGAAGGAGAGAGAAGAGAGGGAGGGAAGAAAAGAAAGGGAGGGATGGAGGAAGGAAGGAAGGAGACAGAAGGAAGGAAGGAGGGTTTGGAGAGATTTTATTTTATTTTATTCCTCCCCCCATAGGGTCCTTCCAATCATTACCAAACGCCGGCAATGGAGTCGTCCAGCCCCACATCGGAGAACGGTGGACGCAAACCGGCCCCACCCTCCCGGCCCGCCCCTTGCCTCGCCCCCCGCAACCTGCCCTGTGCGCGCATGCAGCCCCCGCCCCCCAACATCCCGGTGCCCCCGCCAACCCCTGCCCCACCTCCTCCCCCGGCTCCCCAGTGCCCCCCGCCCCCTCCTCCCCCCCCTCCGCTGCCCTGGCTGAACAAAGCAGGGAGGGCAAGGCCGAAGATGAAGATCCCTTGGGGGACATCCTCTTTGGGTGCGGCGGAGAGCCCTGCGGGGCCGACCCCCCGTCCTTGGCCAATTGCGACTCGGGGTGCGCCTTCCAGGATTCGGGCCCCAGCGCTCAGCAAGGGAGCTACTCTCGCCCCCGGGAAGGGGCCGGGGACACCCCCAGGCCGGCCAGCCCCGAGCCTACGCCGGCCCCCCAATTCTGGCTATCCGAGAGCAGCCGGGAAGAAAACGGCTCTGCGGGTACCAGACCCAAGAATCCGAGCCCCTCGATTACCTCAGGAACATTCAGGTCCCCAGAAAGCCCCCCACCGCTGCCGGTGCCACCATCCCCACCCCCGCTGCCTCCACCGTCCCGGGCCTCCTTTCCAAAGACGCCGGACCCACCCCCCGCGGTGGAGGCCTCCTCCGACCGCCTCTTCGGCTTCGCCAGCCCCCCGTTAGAAGACCAGTTTGAAGAACCCCCCGAGTTCTCCAAGATTTTGCCAGACGGGCTGGCCAACATCATGAAAATGCTGGACGAATCCATCCGGCGTGGGGAAGAAGAACGGGAGGAGAGCTTCCCGCCGCCGCCACCCCCTGCCCCTCTCCTCCCTAGCCCCCCACCCCTGGCAAGGCCCAAGCTACCCTCAGCCTCCACCGGTTCCTTCGATTACCCCAAACCGCCCGGGCAGGACCCTCCCGAGCCCCCTTGCCTCTATCGCTTTGGCAAGCGGGACACGGAAGAGCAGCGCCCCCCGGCCATGGTGGCCGCGGGGTCCAGCGGGGCAAAGTTCACCTCCCACAACACCCCATCTCTCCTCAAGTCTTTGGCCAGTGTGCTGGAGGGGCAGAAACACTCCTATCGGCTCAAACCGATGACTCCCCCAGGTGCTAAGATCTCCCCCCCAGCCGGTGCGAGCCAGAGCCCCCTACCCCAATTCACTACCTCAGGCCAAGCATGGGCTGGGGGCACCAGTGGTGCCACAGAGGAGCGGGCATCCACGCCCCCACCCTTGCCCGCCCCTCGGCCCGTGAAGACCGAGTCGGAAGTGTTAGAGGAGATCAGCCGCGCCTGCGAGACCCTGGTGGGACGAGCGGGGCGGGAGAAGAGCCCCCCGCCCCCTGCCAGCCCCCCACCTACCCCGGCCTCCCCTCCACCCGCTTCTCTTCCGGCCCCTGTGCCTCCAGTGCCCCCGCCATCGACTCCTCCGCGCCCCAAGGAAGAATCCCGCAAGCCACACATGGAACATCGCCGGCACCGTCGATCCAACCGGGACGGCTCGCGGAGACACCGGGATGGTAAAGCTCGCAAGGGGAAAAACCGGCAGATCCTGGGCAGTTTGGACGTGCAGAGCGCTGAGGGCCAAGCCCGGGAGAACGGGGCCAAGCCGCCTCCGCCGCCCCCACCTCCTCCACCCGAACGGAGGTCTCCCGTCAAGAAGGAAGAAGGCCCGGTGGGCTCGGTTTCCACCATGGTGTGCTCGGCCGACCTGCTCAAGCTGCGCTCCTTCACAGAAGGTCCCCCCAAGGAGCTGAAGATTCGGCTGATCAAGGTAGAGAGTGGGGACAAGGAGACCTTCATTGCGTCCGAAGTCGAGGAGCGACGCATCCCCCTGAGCGAGGTCACCATCAACCATTCGGCAGCGGAGGTCGTGCGGGCCAGCAAGTAAGTTTTCACCATCCCGTCCCCCTCCCCCGAGAATTTCCTCCAAGGAATTTCCAGTCGCTGAAGAGAAAATGCAGATTCGACTTAACAGCAGGGGTGTCAACTCAAGGCCCGCGGGGTGCTTAGATCTGGTCCGCCGGGCCATCCTGGAAACGGTGAAGGACCGGCTTACGGTTCTTCTGCCCTCCTGAGCTCCATTTTTGGCTGCAATGGCCTCCTGCAACCCTCTGCCAGCGAAAATGGCACTCGACAGGGTCACATGCGACCCTCCCGAGCTCCGTTTTTGCTGGCAGAGCGCTCGGGCTGCCACAGGCGCCCCTGACATGAGTGACATCAAGCTGGCCACGCCCACCCTGGCCACACCCATCTGCGCCCCCCCCCAGGTCAAACACAACCCTGATGCGGCTGTCGATGAAATCAAGTTTGACGCCCCTGACTTACAACCCCAAATTAGGACCAGAATTTCTGTTTCTAAGTGAGACGGTCGTTAAGTAGTTCCCCCCCAATTTTATAAACTTTTTGCCATGGTTGCAAAGTGAATCATTTATTTATTATTGGGGTGAGGCGGTGGCTCAGAGGTTCAGATGCTGGGCTTGTCATCCAGAAAATGGGTGGTCAGGTTCGAGACCCGAGCTCCATGCGATGGAGTGAGCTCCCGTTCCTCGCTTCAGCTCCTGCCAACCTAGCAGTTCGAAAGCATGCCAATGCGAGCAGATCAATAGGTACCACTTTGGTGGGAAAGTAACAGCGCGGCGTGATGTCATACTGGCCACATGACCATGGAAACATAGGTGAGCACCGCCTCTTTCCTACAGTTGGCAACGACTAGTGGACTAACTTACCCACCGTGATGATCCACTTAATAACCGTGGCGAGAAAAGTTGTAAAACGGGGTGAAACTCCCCGAACGAGTGTCTCCCTTAGCAGTAGAAATTTTGGGCTTGATTGATCCTGTACCGAGAATGTACATTTTATGCAGTTTTCCCGGGCTCACGTCTCCTCCTCTTCCCCACTGCTCTGTCCAGGCACGCCAAGGTGAAAGGAAAATTTAAGGAATCGTATTTGTCCCAAAGTCATTCCGTCAAGCCGCAGATCAACATGGACGAAAAGCTGCCCCGGGATAAACTCAGTCCCCCAACGCCAAGCATCTACGTGAGTGTCCGTTTTGGAGTGGGGGGGTAGCTGGAGAGGGAGGCTGCCAGGAAAGCTCCTTGGAGCAGGGTCTAAGTGAGGAGGGGGCTGTCCAGGGGTTTGTGTGTAAAAATCAGGGGTCTTGGGGTTGCAAACCACGATCGCTCTGGGTACGCAAACCAGGCCTCCTGGCAGAGCATTTAAGGACCGATGAAAACAACTGCAAAGTTTCTAGCCCTCATGGCTGAAGAGGTTGATTTTTTTAAAAAAGGGGGGGGCAGGGGTTTCACGTTCGAGAGCCCCAAAAGGCAGAGAGGAAGGCCGTGAAATAGGGAGAGGGAGGGGGCGAAAACTGGACTTAAGACGACAGTGACTGTTGTTCACTACTCTGTGGGCTGGGGATTTGGTCCACGGTCCTTCATTCTGGGGGGGGGAGGCTCCCCTCCCAAAAAAATGAAGGACCGTGGCTCCTCCCCCCCCACAAAATGAAAGAATCGTGGATTCTGGAGATTGGGGGGTACGGTAGGATGCTGGGATAAGGGATAAGATAAAAAAGAAATAGAAACTCAGATGACACCCAGAGTAAATGGAAAAGGGGGATGGGAGGGGGGAAAGGAAGGAAGGAAGGAAGGAAAGAAAGAAAGAAAGAAAGAAAGAAAGAAAGAAAAAGAAAGAAAGAAAGAAAGAAAGAAAGAAAGAAAGAAAGAAAGATTATAAATATAAATGTACAATTATGAAATGATAAATTGGGTAAAATGGGAAAGAAATCGAAAAGAAAGTGTATATATTATTAGAAAATTAGAGTTGCTCGGATACCAAATAAGGGAAATATTGCACAACAAAGGAGAAACAAAGGAAAGAGGAGGAGAGGGAGAGAGAGGAATGGAAGAAAGGGGAAGGAGAGAAGGGACAAGAGCAGAGGAGAAGGTGAGAAAGGGGGGAAAGGGGAGGAGTGGGGGAGAGGAAGGGGAAGTAGGAGAGGAGAGGAGGAGGAATAAAGTAGAAGAGGAGAGGAGGGAGGGAGGGGAAAGAAAGAAGGAGAAGAAGGTTTGTTGTGAAAAGAGAGGGTAGAAGAGCAACCCCAAACGTAATTAAAATGTCTTATTTTTATGCTTTCGTTAGAAAAAATATATGTGTATATATATGATCAATTATGGATAAGAGAATTTACATTTACTATACAATACGTGTATAAGAAATAAAAATAAAAAACTTTTTTCAAAAGAAAAAAAGAAAAAGAATGCTGGGCCATTTGGCCCGGGGGTCTCCAGTCCAACCCACGGAAGGAAGCAAAACCAGTGTTTTTCAATTTTTTGCCAGTTTAAGAGGGGTGGCTGGCTGGGGAATTCTGGGAGTTGAAGTCCCCCCCCCTCTTAAAGCCGCTTAAAAATGGGGAACCATGAATTAGGATGCTAAGTAGGAAAACTTCAGTGCAATCATCAGATTTTTGGAAGAAAAACCGACTTGGCTGCTCTCCGTCTCGTGTTCTTCAGTGGATTACCTCACACGATCATCTTCACCTTTGGGTTTCATTCTCGTTGGTTCTCCCAAACAAGAATCGATTTCTTGATTCTTGGGATCAGTTGGGAAAACTGGAGGTGGGGGAAAAAAAATTGGGTCTTCTCCTCACCGTGATACCTAGACACGAGCTGTTGAAGGAGACAAGAGATCATCGTGTTGAAAAGGGTCCCTAAGAGGTCATCCAGCCCCAACTCCCTTTAGACGGCAGGGTTCGCAGCAGCCACTCCGCTACGCTAAATGACTGTGCAGCCTCAGTTTGAAAACCGCCAGCGCAGGGGAAGAAATGCTTCTGTGTCAATCAATTCCGCTGATTGACAGCTCTTCCTGTCCACAAGTCCGTCCTTAATGTCTCCTCTATTGAGGTCTCATCTCGTTTGGCCTAGTCTTACTCGCTCTCTGAAACAGTTGGGAATCAGATCTCTTACAGCAGTGTTTCTCCACTCTTACGATTGGTGGACTTCAACTCCCAGAATTCCATGATTGAGATGCTTAGACTTCAACTCCCGGAATTCCATGATTGATGCATGAACTTCAACTCCCAGAATTCTGTGCTTAAGAAGTATGGACTTCAACTCCCAGAATAAGATGCATGGACTTCAACTCCCAGGATTCCGTGCTTAAGATGCTCAACTCACAGAAGTCTGTGCTTACGATGCATGGACTTCAACTCCCAGAATTCCATGCTTAAGATGCGTGCACTTCAATTCCCAGAATTCCATGCTGGGTTGGGAATTCTGGGAGTTGAAGTCCCATCACCCATCTGCACCCATGTCTCTTATCTTGGAAGCTCCTTCTTCCTTAAAAGCCATCTTTCTGCTTGCACAAAATTTAGGGTGGCATTTCTTGGTCATCTCCAAAAGTCCTTACGTCCCCCCCCTTTTTTTTTTATTTCTTTCTTCTTATTATTATTCTTAATCCTATTTTTGTGGCTCTTTGTCTCACCTCCTTGTTTCTAGGGGTGCAGCAGCCCAGATCTGTCTTCCTGGAGCCCCGAGATTTTCTCTCTCCGGAGGGATCCACCCAGGCCATTTGTCTTCCTTCCCTTCCGCGCAGCTTCCTTCGTCTTCAGTTTGTCTCTCGGTTGCTATTCAGGGCAAGCCTCCCATCTCCTGAAAAGCAAAACAAAGGGGGTTTGTGACACACACACACACACACACACACACACACACACGAGAGCTGGCTCTCCGGGTTGCTGGTTCAGGGACCTTATTTGATGACTTGGTCTCCCTCTTGGAAAAGAAAGAAAGAGAGAGGGGGTAGAGGGAGGAAGAGAGAGAGAGAGAGAGAGAGAAAGAAGAAAGAAAGAAAGAAAGAAAGAAAGAAAGAAAGAAAGAAAGAAAGAAAAAAAAAAGAAAAAGAAAAAAGAAAAAAAAAGGAGAGAGAAAGAACGAGAAAGAGAGAGAAAGAAAAAGAAAGAAAGAAAGAGAAAGAGAAAGGGAGGGAGGAAGAGAGAGAAAGGAAGGAAGAAAGGGAGGGAGGAAGAGAAAGAAAGGGAGGAAGGGAGGAAGAGAGAGAGGAAGGAAGAAAGAAAGGGAGGGAGGAAGAGAGGAAGAGAAAGAAAAAGAAAGGGAGAGAGAGAAAGGAAGAAAAGAAAGAAAGAAAGAAAAAGGGAGAAGAGAGAGGAAGGAAGAAAAAGAAGGAGGGAGGGAAGAAAGAAAGAAAGAAAGAAAGAAAGAAAGCTCTTTTGTGGGGCACTTTTGACAGCTTCCTTCCTCTCCTGGCAGGGCCTGGCTTTTGTGAGAATTAGTCACACACGGACACACAGTCTTCCTTGTGTGGCGTTGTGAACTCTTTATGCCTCGTCTTGGCATAGAGGGAAGAGGAGAGCCTGGGCTGGTTTGCCAGCCGGGTTAAAACCTGGCAGGATTCTTGCCAACGTCTCCCAGGACGGGCGTTAACGCTTGGAAGCAATAATCGGTTCCCCTGAACCGGTTCAAACCGTCTGAATCCCACCTCTGCCTGCAAGAAAACAGCCCAGCTCAGAAGGCCCTAAAGACCCCACCGTTCAACCGCGACATTCTCTTCTCTTGCAATTATTTCCCTCCGTAGACAAAGCAGGTCAGCCTTTGTGAATTGTGTAGTTGTGGCCCCTCCGATCAGGAACAGATTCTTGACGGGGTTGTCTTCTTGTCCTTAACTACCATTCCTGGCAGGTTCTGCCCAGCCAGCCACGATTGTCCACCAGCACGAAGAGGTTCTGATATTCTCCTCCTGAGTTTCCATCTCTCCGTTTGGGAAAGGAACCCCTCAAGATTTTCCTCCTTTCCTTTGTTTTTCCGCCATCTCCATTCATTATCATCTTCTTTTTTTCCTTCTCTTCTTCTTTTTCTTTTTTTTAAAATTAATTTGGTGCCATTCCACAAGACGTCTTCCTTGTCCTCTTAGCCTGACAGCCTTCTGCGTGCTCTTTGCTCAGTCTGGCGTCCCAGAAGACCCCGCGCAGCCTCCTAGCTCCTGAGAACAAGCAAAACGCAGCCCCAGGAGAGTAGAACTCTGACTAATGGACTTGACTGCCGTTAGTTTGGGGACTTGCGAAGGAGACGCCCATTCCCAAGAAGAGATCTTTCTTACCGCCGCTCTCTTCTTCCGGTTTATCTTGCATGTCACGGCAAACGTTCTTCAACTCCCTGTGGTCTCCTTTCCGTTTTTTCTCGGGAGCAAGACTAAAGGAATGAATGTTGCATCAGTTTTATAGGAAGAAGGAATCTCTTCCCTTCCCCCCCCCCCCCCCTCTGGATTTATGGACCCGTTTTGAAGTCCCTCCATCCTCTTGCCCTCTTTCGAATTCGGAACTGCGGTGTCGTCTCTCCGTTCGGATTTTTTTTTTAAAAAAAAAAATCCTGTAACTTCCCTCTTAGGAGTCTTTCTGGACCGTCTTTGGCGATGCGATGGGACTACGGCTGTCCTACGATGATGAGCCAAGCCAGAACGCGAGTCGTAATTTTTTTTTAAAAAAACCAGAATTCTCATCGGCAACATGCCTGCCCTCCTTGAATTTATGTGACTTTGCGAAGTCCGACACCTGCATTTCGAGAGAGAGGACCAGGCCTGTGTTTTTTGGGAGGGGCTTTTAAAGTGGAAAACAGTTATCCTTGATGGTCTCTAGGGGGGCAGTCGCTGGTTGAAAAGGAGGGATCGGACACAAATTAGGGAATACAAACACGGACGGGCTCGCCAACCCCAAACTGGGGGATTTGGAGTAGAGGGGCCCAGTGGCCCCATACTGAAAACTGTGGCTTGGCGCTAGGCTTGCAAGGATCCAATCTGGGTCGGTCCACTGGGACCGGAGGTTCTGCCTTCCGAGCTTTCGGACTCGTGCTGGAGCTCATCCTTCTCTCTAGCAGAGTGTGCGCGCTGTTCTGTGCGTGGTATTTATGTGGTGCCTGTCGTACATGGCTTTTTGGATGTTTAGATTGGGGTGTCGACGGTTGGCTTTTAAGTCGCTGGCGGTTTGTGCTGCCAAGCTGTAGCCTTCTAGCACTCCTGTTGACTGACGTTTCCCAGGTTTCAATCGTTTTCCCTGCTGTTTTTGTCCCTGCTCGGCCAGCAATCTTAGTAGCTGCGGAATTGAATGTCCTTGTTCATCGCAACGTGAGGCTTACCAATGAGTTCGGGTCTCCTCATCTGACCTCTCGCTCAGGTTCTTGCAGTCTGGTAGTTAACTTTCTCCCTGTCTGTCCTACATAACACATACAGCGTGGGTGCTGTTCCATGTGTGGCATTTATGTGGCGCCTGTTGTATGCGTTATGCACGACAGATGGGGAAGAAGCTAATCACCAGACTGCAAGAACACAAGCGAGCGGTCAGACGAGGAGACCCGAACTCATTGGTGTAGCCTCACGTTGCGATGAACGAAGACATTCAATTCCGCAGCTACTAAGATTGCTGGCCGAGCAGGGACAAAAACAGCCAGGGAAGTGATTGATACCTGGGAAACGGGCCCCTCGTCAGTCAACAGGAGTGCTAGAAGGCTACGGCTTGGCAGCACAACCGCCAGCGACTTAAAAGCCAATCATCGACACCCCAAACTAAACATCTAAGGAGCCACGTACGACGGGCACCACATAAATACCACGCACAGAACAGCGTACCCACTCTGCTAGAGAGAAGTTCCTGAGAATGGGCTCTAGCACGAGTCCGAAAGCTCGGAAGAGAGAACCTCCGGGACAAAGTATATCTGCCTTCATTGGTGCGCTAGGCCTGTGCATTTTAGCAGCGTCTCTTTAGGTATGGACCCAAATTAGTCTCAGTTAGGCTTTTCCCTACCTGGTGACAGTCTAGTGCTTGGTATTCTATATTACAGGTAGTCCTCGACTTACAACTGATTGTTTAACGACGATTCAAAGTTACAACGTCACTAAAAAATTTGGGCGTTTCATAACTGGTGTGTGTTTATGATGGTCGCTGGGGATCACGTGAACACGGTTCGCAAGCGAGGGAAGCTCGATTCACTTAACAGTTGACCAATTCGCTTAACAGCCGCAGTTTCTTTTGCCAAGAAACTGGGACGCGACTCGCTCAATGGCCTTGTGTCGCCACCGAAATTTTGCTGCCGTCGTAAGTCAAGGACAAGCTGTATCCTTGATCCTAGTCTGCCGAATGGTGATTTTCCCCCCCAGCTGGGGATTATAGGAGGCGCGATCCAATATACTCGCGAGGGCAGCCAAAATTATTCTGATTTTTTTTTTTAAGATTGGTGGGTGCTTTGTGCTTGGAGGGGTGGGGGTGAGGGAGGCAGACTGGCCTGGGGTCCTTTGACCGTCTCCTCCTTTTTCTTCAGTTGGAAAGCAAACGGGATGCATTTTCCCCCGTCTTGCTGCAATTCTGCACCGATCCCAAGAACCCCATCACCGTCATCCGCGGCCTGGCCGGATCTCTTCGACTCAGTGAGTATGATGATTATGGGTTCGTGGCACAATCAGCCAGATGTTCAGACTGGATTTCGTGTTTTTGCCCTGTTGTGGCCTGTCGGCCTCCGGCCCCCCCAGCAGCCGAATCAGAGAAGGAGGAGGAGGAAGAGGCGAGGGAGTCAGGATCAGCATCAAGGCAACCTGAGAGGTCCGAGGAGGACGAGGGAGTGGAGCTGTCAGAGAGAGAGCGAGACAGAGGCAGAGCCCTCAGATGGAGAGTCAAAGCCCCCAGGTCTGGAGGTGGCTGATGAGGAAGAGGAGAAACAGCTGGGTCTAGTGCCTGACGTGGGGATGCGCAGAAAGCAAAGGAGAGGAGAGCAGTGGAAATCTATGAGCCGGTCCTTGGGACGGAAGAGCCACTGCTGCTAAGGAAGCCCCACCCTAGCTCGGGGGACAAAAGGCAGGGGATGGAGATGAATAGATGTGGCAGACAACTATTCGTCTCCCGGTCAGACGGACTTTTTAGCCTGCGTTGAGAGAGAAACTTTTTGCCGGTGTTGCTGGCGCTTCTAATAAAGGAATCTTTGAGTTAACTTCAGAGGGTTTGTCGTGTTTGAGAGCCGGATCAGAACATGTCCTTCCCAAGGAGCCAGGATAGGCAGACGTGGATGCTTGAGGGTGTGTTACAAATCTTGTCGCAGGATGTCAGCCGTTCCGAGTGAAGCTGCCTTTTGCAATTGACTTATGGCGAATTTGTCAATGCCCGTAATGTTCCAGTGGCTCTCCGGATGTTTTGGGATTGCACCCAAGGCGTCTGTGATCATTGGAGATACCTTTGCTTCCTTTTGCCACACTCGTTCTGTTTCCAGGTCTTTGTATTTTGTTATCTTGTCCGGTTCTTTCTCTTTTATTTTGCTGTCTCCAGATCCTGCCTCGTCCCCAGACTTTTTTTTGTTTTTCTTATCGACAGTTGTTAAGTGTGGGTTGTTATGGGGCAGTTGCCTGTTTATTTGAATTCTGAAGTCCCAGAGCAATTTAGGTTCTTCATTTTCTGTGGCTTTGTCTAGTTTCTCCAATTCTTGCTTGCAGGCAAACTTCTCGTAGACCTTCCAGTGTACTATTGTTGCTACTTTGTCATGCCGTTGCTTGTGGTCAGTCTTCTTGCAGCAGCTAACCAGGTGATCCCCTGTTTCTTCAGCTACTTTGCAGAGACGGAAGCTGAAGAAAGAGTAGACCATCTGGTTAGCATTTGTTCTGAACCTGGTTCCCAAACCCGACAAACCCTCTGCAGTTAAATAAATGTTCCCTTTCTTAGAAACGCCATCAGCCCCAGCAAAAAGTCTCTCTCTCTCTCACCGCAGGCTAACAAGTCTGTCTGGCAGGGAAGATGAAGAGTTGTCTGCCACACCTATTCATCTCCGCCCCCTGCCTTTTATCCCCAGAGCTAGGGTGGGGCTTCCCTAGCAGCAGTGGCTCTTCCATCCCGAGGACCGGCCCATAGATTTCCACTGTTCTCCTCTCCTCTGCCTTCTGCGCATCCACATATAAAGCAGTGGTGTCAAACTCGATTTCATTGAGGGCCGCATCAGGGTTTTGTTTGAGCTCGGGGGGGGGGGGGGGGCTGGAGTGGGTGTGGCCAGGATGGGCGTGGCCAGCTCGACGTCACTTATGTCAGGGGCGCCTGTGGTAGCCCAGGCACTCCGACAGCAAAAACAGAGCTCGGGAGAGCCAGAGGCACCGTGGAACAGTCCTTCACTGTTTCCAGGGCAGCCCCGAGGGCCAAATCTGGATCTGGCCCCCAGGCCTTGAGTTTTGACACACCTGGTCTAAAGCAAAGAAGATCAGATCTTTGGAGTGCCCAATAATTTTCTCCAGGTTTGGAGAATGGCCGAGGATCTTTGTAGTTCCTTAAGGAAGTCGATCCGGGTGGAGAGGACACCAATTTGATTGTAGAAGTTTGCCTTTCCAAATGGAAATTTGTGGAATGAGGCTGATTCTCGGGAGAACTGAAGCACAATTTGGAGGGGGGGGGTGTATAATGAGGCTGTCCAGTGCCCCCTTACTTTACTGCTTCCGCTCGCCCTCAGATCTGGGACTGTTCAGTACGAAGACGCTGGTGGAGGCGAGCGGCGAGCACGCCGTGGAAGTCCGCACGCAGGTGCAGCAGCCGTCGGACGAGAACTGGGACCTCTTGGGCACCAAGCAGGTCTGGCCGTGCGAGAGCAGCCGGTCGCACACCACCATCGCCAAGTACGCCCAGTACCAAGCGGCTTCGTTCCAGGAGTCGCTTCAGGTGAGATTGACAAGCTTGGTCCTTCCGTCCCGTCCTTAGCATGGACCGGACCGGGCGGATTCCGGGCCCCGTAAGGATCGCACACCGAAGGCCCTCGCTTAACTCTTGGCAGGAAGGTCTCCATTCTGACTTCTCTCTCTGTTGAGGCAGGAGGACAAAGAGACTGACGATGAGGAAGCCGAGGAGCCGGACAGTACCACAGAGACGCCGCCCAGGTAGAGTATTCCTGCCTCTGCCTGCTCGTCGGGTGACTTTTGTTTTGATCGATAGAGGAGAATAATTTTAGCTCGGAGTTGAAATGAGGCATTCTTAATGCAGAAGTTTCATGACGCAACTATGTAGCATCATCAGTGCTTCTTTTGATCGATTACAGCTAGTCCTTGACTTACGACCGTTCATTTAGCGACCATTCAAAGTTACAACAGCACCGGGAAAAAAAAGCAGACTTTAACGACCATTTTTCACGCGCCCGTGGCACCATCCCCCATGGTCACGTAATCCAAACGACGATTTGGCAACCGATTCGTATTTATGACGGTCGCGGTATCCTGGGTTCTCCTGCAGCGACCTTTCCGGCATGCTGAGCCAGTGAGGAAGCCTGATTCACTTTAACGCCCGTACTGAACTCACTTAAGAACTGCGGTGATTCACTTTGCCGCCGTGGCAAAGAAGCTTGTTAAAACGGGGGGCAAAATTCACTTAACGACGGTTTCGCGGAAATGTTAGGCTCTATTGTGGTCGTAAATCGAGGACTACCCGTATTCTTTGAGCGTGGGAGGTTTTGCTGAGAAACGGCGCATAATGACGAGGGAGGTAGGTCAGGCTTTACTGGCTTGTGAATCACGGACCCAGAGAAGCACAGAATACTTGGGGGGGTGGAGCAAATTGGGAAATTAATGCGTTCTCCATCTGGGAGGAGACGGGGAGGAAACGGGTCATCACAGCTTCCCGTCCTCAATTTTTCCTTTCCGTTGTTCTTCTCGCAGCAACCCCGACCAGAAGCCCCACCAAATAATCAAGTTTGGGACCAACATCGACCTCTCGGACGCCAAGCGGTGAGGATCGCGAGAAGGGGGCGGAAAATCCCCCGTGGACCCCTTTCTCCCCACCCCTCTCTTCCTGTCCCCCTCCCCGCCTCGATTTTCCATTTCCTGCTATGGGTTTTGCAAAGCAGCAGCGGAGAATTGGGGGCCTAGATCTGCTTGTTTGGGCTGCCCCCTTCAGGTTCAGACCTGTCACTGCAGGCAAAACGGTTTGGTTTCCTAGAGCGGGCTTCGTCCCACATCTTTGCGGCCCCCTGGTGGCCACTCATGGAACTGGGGATCAGCCATCCTTCCAATCCTATGGGCAAAGCACTGTTCTTGTGGCTCTCTGTTGCCCCCTGGTGGCGATGCATGAGAATTCCAGAAAGAAAGTTCCGGGGATAGGCGGCCTCCTGGTGGCCAGAATCCGTCAGTGCAGTTTAAAAGACTTAAAAAGGCAGAAATGGGCAATTATGGCCCCTTTAAGATCTGTTGGATTTCAACTCCCATAATTCCTGGCTAGCAGGGATTCGAATCCCCCATGTTCAGTAGTACAAATAGTCCTCGACTTATGACGAGTCACTTAGTGGACTGTCCAAAGTCACAACCCACCTGGAAAAAGGAGCTTACAGCCTGGATGTGAACTTCCGACAGTCGCGGGACCGACCCTTGGCAACACAGTGACAATTACAGACAATTTTCAGCAAAACCACACAATAGCGAACAATGGGTTCATTTAACGACCGTCCCGTTCGCTTAACAACTGTGGGGGTTTCCCCTTAGAATCATCACGCTGGCTTAACAACGGCTGCAAACAGCGTTGTAAAATTACAGATAATGTACAGATAATTCTCAACTTTCAATAATTTGTTTAGTGACCGTTCAAAGTTATAACGGCACTGAAAAAAGTGACTTAGGATAGTTGTTCACACTTAACGACCGTTGCAACATCCCCGTGGTCACGTGATCAAAACTCATGATGTTTGGAAAGGGACTGGTTCGCTTAACGACCAACTTAACTGCTGCGATTCGCTTAACAACTGTGGCAAGGAAGGCGGCAAAATGGGGCAAGACTCACTCAACAAACGTCTCACAAAGCTACCGAAATTTTATTGCGGGCGTAAGTCGAGGACTACCTGTACTACTGTTGGTGCAAGCTCCCTTAACGGTCGTAACATCGAGGACCAACCCTAGAGGATTTCTATACCGAAGGGAGATCACACTAGTTGATCTCCCAGCCCCTTCTGAGCATGGGTGACCTGTTTGGTTTCTCCGACAGATGGAAACCGCAGCTCCAGGAATTGCTGAAGCTGCCTGCCTTTATGCGAGTCACGTCGACGGGGAACATGTTGAGCCACGTGGGCCACACCATTCTGGGCATGAATACGGTGCAACTCTACATGAAGGTCCCTGGCAGCCGTACCCCAGGTGAGAACCGCCTGGTCTGAGCATGAATGGATTGGGCCCTCTCTCCCGCTAGGACAGGAGTCGGCAACCCGTGGCTCCGGAGCCGCATGTGGCTCTTTCATCCCTCTGCTGCAGCTCCCTGTTGCTGGTCGGCCCCACAATTGATAGGACTTTCGGTTAGGATAGGAAAATGATACTACGCTAGGAGGGGACACTATGATGGGGGAACCGGATTTCCGGTCGGCTCCGGAATTGAATGGGGAGCTTCCGGTTAGGACCTTTGTGGCTCTTTGAATGTTTAAGCTTGCCGACCCCTGCACTAGGAGAACAAAACAGAACATAGAGGTGGAACCTCCAGATCTCACAACACTCTACCTTTGAATCCCAGCTGTGGAGGGAGGCAGAGAAAGGCTCTGAGGTCCTGCTTAGAGGCTCCCCGATTGGCCCCTGAGGGAACAGAGGTGGATGGACAGGAGGGATGCTGGGTGGATCTGAGCTGAAACTGGGCATCCATGTTTGTGGCTAAGAACCTAGAAGAAGGATCTCCAAATTTGGCCTCTTTTAAGACTTGTGGACTCCAACTCCCAGAATTCCTCAGCCCAGCTGAGGAATTCTGGGAGTTGAAGTCCACAAGTCTTAAAAGCAGCCACGTTTGGAGACCCCTGGAACTTCTGGATCCCGTGTTATGAGCGCCACTAGTTCTTCAACCGGGGTCTTCCAAGGATCTCTGCTGCCTTGAAGAGTCTTGACTTGGGATGGAGGCCAGTTGACCTGGGCTGAGCTGCTAACGTCTTCGTCTGTGGACCTCCTCTGTAGGTCACCAGGAGAACAACAACTTCTGCTCCGTGAACATCAACATCGGGCCCGGGGACTGCGAGTGGTTTGCTGTCCACGAACATTACTGGCAGAACATCAGTGCCTTCTGTGACAGGTAGGACTTCTTCAGGAAACTGGGTGGGATCTCCTCAGTCTTGGGGCAAGGGAGAACTTGGCCAGAGAGGAGAAACAGGGTGGTAGAGGGAATCTTCTAAAGACAGTTGAAGGAGCAGCAAGTGGAGAGGAACCATCTCAGTGGCGGTCCCGAGCACGCTCAACGGTTTTGACCCAAGTGAGGTTCAAGATGTTCTTGTGGCCTTCAGGACTCTCGTTTCTTCTGCCAGACGGCCTCAACCTGGGTTTTCTTGTAGGCATGGGGTAGATTATCTCACCGGCTCCTGGTGGCCCATCTTAGAAGACCTCTACCAGTCCAACATCCCCGTTTACCGCTTCATCCAGCGTCCTGGAGACCTGGTGTGGATCAACGCTGGGACGGTGCACTGGGTGCAGGCCACTGGATGGTGCAACAACATCGCTTGGAACGTCGGTCCCCTGACAGGTAGGAGAGAGGGATGGGCCGGAGAAGGAGGATGTAGCGGGACTTTGAAAGGAGAAGGTTGACCTGCTAGCTTTTTGGGATAGGAGCTTTGGCCGTACTGGCGTTTGAAGCTGACCATTTCCCACCTTGCAAGTGTTTTGACCAAGGCTTCCTGAGTCATTAAAACCCACGAGTAGTCCCAAAAATCTCTTTTATTGCAACAGCTGTGAATTACGTTCATTCACAGCTGAGTCCCAATTAGTTGCAAAAAAGTCCTTCGGGAGAAGTACCAACCTTTATCTCCCTTGACACGCTGCCAAAGACCTACTTGGCAAAGCCCCACGGAGTCCAGAATCAAACAGAGATGCCGACTGGGAACAGAATTAACAACATTGCTTTCCTGCAAAGGGCCCATGTGCCTTTGCTCCTCTTTTAAGCCTTATGGGAGGGGCCAATCATCTCCAGGCCTTACTCCTGAGTCGTCCCTTTTGTTTTAACTGTTCTTGCCTTCTGGCAGCTGTGCGCATGCGCGCAGAAGGAACAGGCTCCTCCTGTTCCTCTGCCTCTCTGATGTCCGACTCTGGAGGCTCCGGAGTCCGCGCATCACCCCCAAATGGCCCTGGCCCCATCTCTGCCTCGGACACAGAGCCCTCGTCCGAGCCTTCCCCAGACTCCAGGACTGGCCCATGTTCCTCCCCAACCACCTCACTATCCGACTCCGCTGCCAGCTCCACAAGCTGCTGGCGGACCACAACACCAAGCCAGAACAGTGCCTGGTAGATCTCGTGGGGTTTTAGAAGGTCAAAATACTCCTCAGTGCTGGATCCATTTTAGTAGAACATCTTTGGCAGATGATCGTCCAAGCCTTGGTTGGAACGTGATGACCTTCAACGAAGGAGAACTCGACACATTGTGAGATAGTTTGTCCCACGGATCGATAGATCGTACATTCAGGAAGTTCCTCTTGAGAGAACTCCATTTCTTATAGTTTCAACCCAACGGAGATGACCCTACACTCCGGCCCAACAGGGAGTAGAGGTCCATTCCTCCTTGCTTATGACCAACCTTTTAGAGCAATGTCTTTGAACCTCAGCCACTTTAATTTAAATTTAATTTATCGGACTCATTCTTAAAACGGTGGCGCTCAAAACTGGACGTGACCCTGTTCTGACCCGGCTCTCAAACACGACAAACCCTCTGAAGTTAACTCAAAGATTCCTTTATTAGAAGCGCCAGCAACACCGACTTTCACAGTCCACTCGCATCCAGACGTTTGACCTGGCCCCAATTCCAGAGGTCTTGAATTTGCTGTGGATTATGGAACTGGCGAACCTGAATTTGTTCCCCCGCAGCTTACCAGTACCAGCTGGCGCTCGAACGCTACGAATGGAACGAGGTGAAGAACGTCAAGTCCATCGTGCCCATGATCCACGTTTCCTGGAACGTCGCGCGGACGGTCAAGATCAGCGACTCGGACTTGTACAAGATGATCAAGTGAGTTGTTTTTTTTGTTTTTTTTTAACTCTTCCGAGGTCCCACGTGAGCCAAGCTGGCCTTCCCCGCCCTAGTACGGGACGTCCTTGTACTTACGACCACAATGGAGCCCGAAATTTCTGTCGCTAAGCGAAGCAGTTGAGTGAATTTTGCGATGATTGTAAATGCAAGGACCGGTCCTAAAATACCTGTTTTCAATGCCGTCGTGCCTTCCAACGAATGGTCGTAACTCGAGGGTGGCCTGTATGGGAGCCCAGGAGCACCCCGGCGGTGCCTGTGTGTGTGTGTGTGTGTGTGTGTGTGTGTGTGTGTCCCTGGGCTCACCTCTTCTCCTCTCTTTAGGTACTGCCTGATGCAGTCCATCAAGCACTGTCAGGTCCAGCGGGAAAGTCTCGTCCGATCGGGCAAGAAGATCGCGTACCAAGGAAGGGTGAAGGACGAGCCGGCCTACTACTGCAACGAATGCGATGTAAGAGCCCGCCTCGGGAGTGGTCCTTGTGTGTCTCTGCCGCCCGTAGCGGCTGCAGATTTGACGCGGTGTAAGCTTCCCGCCATCTCTCTTTTGAGTCAGTGGGGAAGACTGTTGGCTGTGGGTTTCCGTCAACTCTAGAGGGTTGAAGGTCCTCCTTCTTCTTCTCTTCCTCTCTTCTCAATTGCTTCCTTTCTGCAGCTGATGCTGGGTCACAGGTGGGCTGGTCCTTAACTGGTGTCTCTTCATCATCATCTACAATCTAGTTGGGTCCAAGAATGAGCCTTGGTCTCCTCCTCCCTTTATACCCCTATCTGGTCTTCCCGGATTCCAACTTTAAGAGATCCTAGTTCCAGCAGTCCTTCAACGCATAGTTGGTAGGATGTGGGGACAAGTTCTCCATCTACGATCCAGTTGGGCCCAAGGTCCTCCTCCCTTTAAACAAACCCTACCTGGCCTCCATGGATCCAACCTTAAGAGATCCTAGTTCCAGTAGGTCCTTCAACGCTTGGTTGGTAGGACGTGGAGAGACAAGTTCTCCTGTGGTGGCCTCTGAGATGGATCCATAGGTCCATTGTCATCTTCGTCATCATCTCATTTCCCCACCCCACCCCCCAAAGGGTCCCAGCAAAGGCTTCCGACCGCAGGGGTGGCGTGGGCTTGGTGAGGTCTCTCTGTCTTTTAAATTACCTGTATACCTCCTGTCCCATCTCCAGTAAGGGATTTTTAAAATCCCCCTCCCCCCACCTTCTGACAGTGGTGGAGACGTGCAACCGTAATGAGGTGAAGAGGTCAAAAACAGTGAGTATGATGCGCGTGGTTTTGTAAGAGGAGAAGATAAGGAAGAAGGAAGGTGAAGGAAGAACGTGGAACTGAGAAGAAGACAAAATGTTAGTCAGGATTGTAGTGGCCACGAAAGGAAGTTAGGTCAACACCGGTATGGAACTGGAAGGATTCCTGAAGAGACGAGAAGCTTCCTCGGCGGGGAAGAAGGATTAGAAAGTCTTCGATGTGTGTGTGTGTGTGGAGGCCACCTCAACGCAACTAAAGGAGTAAGAGAAATCTGACCAGCAACTTCAGTTGAAGAGCCTTGAAAATTAGAGAGAAGGAGAGCAACCATCTTAGAAGGTTTAGGAGGTCTACAGAATTGAGGAAGCGCCATGGATGAACGTGAAGGCTTGATGTCATAACTGAAGGACATCTCGGTTGACCAGGAATGACTCAAGCAATGATACGGGAGCTTCCCCGCTCGTTGATCGGATGTCTCTTGGACAGAATCTCTGCTGTACGTGGGCATATATGGGTTCTGCACCTGAGGTCACTGGAATTCTTGGGACCCCATCTTGTTCTGTTCGCTCTTACTAAAGAGAAAATTATTCTTGAAAAGAAGAAGTCTCCATTTTTGCCATCTGCTGAAGCACATGTGGGGAACCGTCACTTTAGGACTTGTGGACTTCAACTCCCAGAATTCCCGAGCCAACATGGGGAACGGTGGCCCCTTTACGACTTGTGGACTCCAACTCCCAGAATTCCCGAGCCAACATGGGGAACGGTGGCCCCTTTACGACTTGTGGACTTCAACTCCCAGAATTCCCGAGCCAACATGGGGAACGGTGGCCCCTTTACGACTTGTGGACTTCAACTCCCAGAATTCCCGAGCCAACATGGGGAACGGTGGCCCCTTTACGACTTGTGGACTTCAACTCCCAGAATTCCCGAGCCAACATGGGGAACGGTGGCCCCTTTACGACTTGTGGACTTCAACTCCCAGAATTCCCGAGCCAACAATGGGGAACAGTAGCCCCTTTATGACTTTTGGACTCCAATTCCCAGAATTCCCGAGCCAACATGGGGAACGGTGGCCCTTTCGGACTTGTGGACTCCCAACTCCCAGAATTCCCGAGCCAACATGGGGAACGGTGGCCCCTTTAGGACTTGTGGACTCCAATTCCCAGAATTCCCGGGCCAACATGGGGAACGGTGGCCCCTTTACGACTTGTGGACTTCAACTCCCAGAATTCCCGAGCCAACATGGGGAACGGTGGCCCCTTTACGACTTGTGGACTTCAACTCCCAGAATTCCCGAGCCAACATGGGGAACGGTGGCCCCTTTACGACTTGTGGACTTCAACTCCCAGAATTCCTGAGCCAACATGGGGAACGGTGGCCCCTTCACGACTTGTGGACTTCAACTCCCAGAATTCCCGAGCCAACATGGGGAACGGTGGCCCCTTTACGACTTGTGGACTTCAACTCCCAGAATTCCCGAGCCAGGGAATTTTAAGGAAGGATAGCTCAGAACAACGTCTAGTGGATATGAACAATTCTGACTTCCTCTCCTTGGAGAAGGTTGTAGAGGAAGAGGTGGAACCATGTTTATACAAGGTTTATCGTTACCTTGGATTCGGACTCGGCCCCGGGAGAGAAACAGCATGTTGATTTCATGGACCATCGATGGTGAGACCTGGATGGAGAAACCAGGCCGTACCTGTTCTCGTAACATCTCTTGATGTTGGCTACCGTACCCGCCCACCACAGCAAGATTGGGAACTGGGAACCACTATTTAACTAGGTTTCCACTCCTAGCTAAGTTTGGAAGGACAATTTGGATCATCAGATGACCCTTTTTGGAGGGCTCAGTCTCGGGGCTCTTCCCTGTCCTGTTCGGCACATCCCTGAAACCACGGGGAGAGGTTATTGATCGAAAGTAAAGATACCGTATTTTTCGGACTATAAGACGCACCTAAATTTAGAAGAGGAAAACAACAACAAAAAGTTTTGGGCCTCCGCGCATCCCATTTTCAGCCCGTTTTTTGACCCTTTTCCAGCCTTTTTCCGGCCTGTTTTCAGGGCTTTCTCCAGCCTGTTTTCAGGGCTTTTTTCGCCCCGTTTTTGAGGCTTTTTTCAGCCCGTTTTTGAGGCTTTTTTCGGCCCGTTTTTCCATCTTTTTTCAACCTGTTTTTCCGGCTTTGTTCGGCCCATTTTTGAGGCTTTTTTCAGCCCATTGTTGAGGCTTTTTTTGGCCCGTTTTTGAGGCTTTTTTTGGCACTTTTCGATGCTTTTTCCGGCCCGTTTTTTAGGCTTTTTCCAGCCCGTTTTTGAGGCTTTTTTCGGCCCTTTTCGAGGCTTTTTTTGGCCTGTTTTTGAGGGGTTTTTTCAGCCCATTTTTCCATCTTTTTTCAACCTGTTTTTCCGGCTTTATTCGGCCCATTTTTGAGGCTTTTTTCAGCCCATTGTTGAGGCTTTTTTCGGCCCGTTTTTGAGGCTTTTTTTGGCACTTTTCGAAGCTTTTTTCGGCCCATTTTTGGGGGCTTTTTTTCAACCCATTTTTGAGCCTTTTTTCAGCCTGTTTTTTTTTTAAACGGCTCGAAAAAACTCTCGAAAACGGGCCAAAAAAAGACCTGAAAAAAGGCCAAAAAAAAAGGCCTGAAAGCGGGACACGAGGAGGCAAAAAAACAGGCGGCGGGTGGGCGGGGCTTCAGCAATATTCAGTCTATAAGACACACAGACCTTTTCACCCCCTTTTGGGAGACAAAAAAGTGCATCTTATAGTCCGAAAAATAACGGTACTTTAAATATATATATATTATTGTATTTTGTACTATATCTTGTAAGCCACCTATACATGATCAATAAAGGAGTCTGAAACAGGGGCCTGAATTCTGTCTTCAGTCCAAGTGGAGTCAAATCAACTATCTTGGGACTACAGCACCCATTGTCCTCTGCCAGACGGTGCCCGCTGAGAAAAGCGGAAGGGAAGCCAAGCGCCAATGGCCACTTGGGCATTTCAAAGGCCTTCTCCATGCGGTGGTGGTGGTGGGCAGGGGTCTCGGGACCTCATTTTCTGGTGTCTTTAAGTGGGGGTTCTGGTGGCATGATTCCTTCTCCTCGCCGAGGGTAGCGCCCCCCTTTGGTATTTTCGAACTCTGGGCTATGGGGCAGGATGAACATTTAGGGTTTTAACAAGGTCTCAACGGGGCAGAGTGGTGGACATCCAGAGGTAGAGACAGTGGAGAAGCTGTTTCGTCAGCTTGATACAGAATAAGAACGTTGGAAGGGACCTCGGAGGCCTTCTAGCCCAACCCCTTGCCCGTGGTAAAGAGACCCTGTACCGTTTCAGACAAATAGCTGTCCGACTTCTTCTTAAAAGCCCCCACTGATGGAGGAGCACCCATAGTGATGGTTCAGGGGCTCACCGCGGCAAGCCGAGCCGAGCTAGCGGCCTCCCAAATCCTTTTCCGCTGATCCGTGGGTTCCATTTTTAAGATATTCCCCCCCCCGTGAGATTCCTTTTGGAGGGGGGGATCTTGGCTTCTTCCCTAGGCAGGGAAGGGGGTCTCCTGCCTCGTAGGAGGGGAACTGACCCTCCCCATCTCTTCCCCGCAGGTAGAGGTGTTCAATGTCCTTTTTGTGACCAGCGAAAACGGCAGCAAGAATACGTACCTAGTTCATTGTGAGGCCTGCGCCCGGAAACGGAACTCGTCCCTCCACGGCGTCGTGGTACTCGAACAGTACAAAACCGAAGAATTGATCGCCATCTACGACAGCTTCACCCTGGTGAGTCTCTGAAGTGTGCGCTTGTGTGTGTGTGTCCCAAAGGTGTTTTATTTCTCAAGAGGCAACTGGACTTTCTGGTTTATTTTTTCTTTGAGGAGGTTTCGCTTCTCATCCTAGAAGCTTCTTCAACTCTGCTGTGTCTCTGTGTGTGTGGATCCTTTCGCGACCGGGATTATGTCGGGAGGATCGTTTTACGGGGAAAGATTTCCTCCCCTGTTCCATTTATGACCGTTGCCGCATTCCCACGGCCGTGTGACCAAAATTTGGACACACGGTAGACTTGTGACGGTTGCAGAATCTCGGAGTCGCACGATCCCCTTTGGCGACTGTCGAACAAGCCAAGTCCGTGAGGCAGCCAGATTCACTGAAGAATCGTGTGACTCGCTTCACAATGAAGGTCGTGACACGGGGCAAATGTTTTCGGCTCCGTTGGGGGGTTGTAAGTCGAGGATCACCTGTCCCTTGTGGGGAGAAAAAAAATGGCCGTCCAGCCAAAATGGCCGGGAGCCAAATCGATTAGAGCCAGGAGGTGCTTAAATCTGGCCTTCAGGGCTGGCCTGGAAATAGTAAAGGATCAGCCCACGGTGCCTCCGGCAGCCAAAACAGGGCATGGGGGCCTCACACAGGCCTCCCACACCCTGTTTTCGGCCTGGACAGCCTCCTGCACCAATGCTGGCCTAAACGGAGTGCGAGGGGGTCACGTAAGGCCTCCCCGCACCCTGTTTTGGCCGGCAGGATGCTGCAGGAGACGTCCGTCCTGTCTCCACCCCCCCCTCCCCGGCCGACCCGCGGAGCAGAACTACAACGCTGATTCGGCCCTCAAAGAAATCCAGTTTGACATTCCTGGATTAGAGAAAGGAAAAAAAAAACTCCGAGGATTGGGAAAGGAGTTCCCTGATTAATTCGTGTCCTCTTTTCTTTTTTTTTTTTTTTGGCAGGCCCCGACGCCGAGTTCAAGATGAGCCATATCACGCCCAGGCGCCGATGTCTGGGCTCGCTTTCCCGCTCTCGTTTCTCCCACTCCACTGTGAGTGTTTGGGGCAGAAGGTGCTGTAGCCCCCTTCTCTGCCTCCACCCATCCCGAAACTGAGTCTCGATTTCCTCTCCGTTGCTTCCTCGCAAGCCGTCCTGAGCCGGAAGGACACGGAACCGGTCACAAGCTTCGTTTCCCTCGCCTCCCCCCGCCCCCTCGGACGGACCCTGTATTTTTTATTTATTCTTCTTCTTCTTCAACAAAGAAAAACAAAACACAACGGACCTCCTTATATATATATTTTTTGTTATTAATTTTCCTGGGTGGTGCTGATTTTATTTTATTTTTGAAAAAAAAACAAACGAAAAGAGGACAAGAAATAGAAGACGATAAATCAATAAATCCTGAAATTTAAAAAGAATATATATATATATAAAGGGGTGAAGAACAGTTTCATCCGAAAGGATGTCGATGAGAATGATGACTCCGTTCCTAGCGGGGGGTGGGGGGGAAATCGGGAACTGTGCGAGATCCCGGTTGACGGTCGGACTTCCGCGTGCCTTCCCCGCCAATCCCCCGCGCCCCACCCCTCCCCATCCCGGGATGAGCATCATGGGCTCGGAGGAACGGAGGAAGAAGAAACCGGGAGGGGCAGCCCGTTCACACGAGCATTACGGCCCACTCGCGCGCGAGTGGATTTTGTGGAAGAAAGACAAGACAGTGACTTTTGCCGGGCTGCTCCGGCGTGGTGTTTTGTTCGTTATTTTATTTTTTTTTAATTATTTTTTCGTCGTTCGTTCGTTTTAATTTACCAATTTTTTTTTTTCCTGGTTGGAAATTTTGAGAAAAAAACAAAACAAAAACCAGTTTGGAAAACAGAAAAAAAAAAAAAAAAAAACAACGCAAGCAAGCAAAAAAAAAAAAATTTAATACGGGTTTTCTTAACACAGGACTTTTTATGGTTCAGTTCTCTTTGGGTGAACTTCTGGTTTTTTGGCGGGGGTGGGGAAGCAAGAGTGTGTACATTGATTTATATATATATATATATATTGGCTGGGCGGGGCCAGGGACGATTGGCGTGTGTGTTTTTTAATTATTCGGATGGACGTTTTGATTTCTTACATCCTTTTATATATTATATATATATATATAAATATAAGGAGAAAAAAACAGAAGGTTTGTATTAGAAACTGCTTTTAAAGACGAAAATACAAAACGGACAAAAAAATACAGATTATATATAGAGACACGAGTGCAGTCGGAAAAAAAAACCCGTTGGTGCAAATGCCTTTCTTTGGATAGGGGGAAAAAATTACAATCCTGTGCAAAAGGAGAGTTATGGTGCTTGCCCCAAATCAAAGACGACAACGGGTAGGTGGGGAGAAAATGTTTGGCAAAATTTGGCCCCCGGTGGGATGGGGAAAGGGGTGTGTGGCTATTCACAACACTTGTCCTAGCTATTGTTAACCGATTGTTAGGTGTAATTTAGCAACAACGCTGACTCCTAACTTACCTTCCTTCCTTCCCTTAAATCCAACGTCCTTTTAACGCTCCCCGTAATTATTTCGCCTTTTTTTTGCCGATGCAATTATATTTAATTGTTTTTTTTTCCTTCATCGAATTCACCGGCCTATCTTCTTTTTAATATTACTTTTTTTAAAAAAAAAAAAGAAAGAAAGAAAAAAAGCTAGACAGTTCTCACTCCCGATTCATAAACAAAACAAAAAAAAAAACAGCCAAGAATGTCTGAGATTTGGGGTAATTTTTTTTTTCCCTCGCGTCTGGATTTTTTTTTTAAAAAATTTTTTTTACCTCCGCGTGTCAGAATTGTTTTACAGTTGATAAAAATGTTCTCTCTCTCTCTCTTTCTCTGTCTTTTTTTAATTTATACGTCTTTTTTTTTGTTCGTTCGTTCGATAATGATTTCTCTATTTATTGGTCCTTTATTTGGGGGGGGAGGGTGGAAATGTTGTTGATTCTGCTTTTTTTTTATTTTGTTTTGTTTTGAAGAAAAAAAAATGTTTTTAAACTGTTGTACCTGTTCGGGTGTTGTTGTTGTTTTTTTTAAAAAGACACGTCTCTCTCTTTCTTTTTCGTCAGTCCTTTTTTTTTGAGTTTCTCTCTGGAAATTGTTAATGGCGTTTCTAAAAGTTTTCTTCTTTTTTTTGTTGGCCGTTTCCTGGACGTAAATGCTCAGTTTTCTCACGGGGTGGGAGGTGGGGGGGTGTTAGGTGGGGTAGGGTTGGGGGGAATCGGGGAGGGGGAGGAGGCAGGCAGGGGTGAGAAAATAGATGGATTCTCATCACATTCGTTGATTTCCTCCTGAACAGAATCTCATCCTATCCTACACTGTAAAAAAACAAAAAAAATTAATCTTTCTTCCGAAACCTGCACTTTTTTGAAAAAAAACCCAACCCAAATTCCCCTTTCCCTTTTAATTACACCCTGTAATTAAAACAGATGAAGATCTCAAGTTAACTTTTTTTTGTTTTTTTTGGGAAAACACACACAAACACACACACAAACGGATTCTTTAATGTACTGTAGGGGACAAGGAGAAAGCAAATCTTATTTTGTAAATGTAAAAAAAAAGAAAAAAAATTAAATTAACTCACAGAGATTAAAATAAACCGACCTGGTTTTTTTTGTTTTTTTTCAATCTTCCTTTTCCCTTCTTCTCTTTAATCAATAAGTTGCTGATCGCATGGGGGGCATTGTATCCCCATTGTTAAAAAGAGGGTGGGGCTTTGGTGGGGTGGGGTCTTGCTGATCGCATGGGGGGCATTGTATCCCCATTGTTAAAAAGGGGGGGCTTTGGTGGGGAGGGGGTCTTCACTTGCTGATCGCATGCAGGGCATTGCATCCCCATTGTTAAAAGGGAGGGGGGCTTTGGGTGGGGAGGGGTCTTCACAGGGGAAACTGAGTCCTTCCCAAACCTGCAAAAATATTGATTTCCCAATGCAGTTGGGAGATGTCTCTTTGCTTCAGGAATCTGGGCTGGGTGGTGGGTTCAAGGACCCCCCCCTTTCCTGTTCCCCCAATTAACCCCAGGGCGATGCTATCAACAGGCACCCCAAAATTTAAGGGGCGTTTTTGGAGCCTCTCCTGATGGGCTCTGTTTTCCCCAAATGGGTGGTGGGTTCTTTCCCACTCCCAAGCATCAACATCTGGCCTGTTGCCCAAGGGGTTTTTTGGGGGGGGGAAGGCAGAGGTGAGGAGGGGGTGGCGGAGGGAAGCATCTCTGGAATCCAGAGGGGAGGGGAGACCCTTCCCCTGCTGGGAGATGGGGGGTGTCTGCCTCTTAAGGAGCATCCTGGAGAGGGATTTTGCAGCTGGAGTTGAGCTGGTGCGCGCGGGTGCTTCTTGCGTTGCGCTCTGTGTGAGTGTGTCTCTGTGTGTGTGTGAGTGTGTATGTGTGTCTTTGTGCATTCCTAGCTTATCCTGGGGAGGGGGGGAGGAAGGGAGGGAGGGAGGAGGGGCGCCTATAAACCCATCTCCAGCCAAAAACCCAGCCAGAGAGTTAAAGGAAGCCACAGCCAGGATGAGCTTAGACCTCAGTTCCCCCAAGCCTGGGCCGGGGTCCTTGGAATGCGACGGGGGGGTCCCTACTGGGACCTCGCCGCTGACCCCCCCTCCTTATGCCGGGGAGGGGGCTCTGGAACTGCGAGGGTCCTTGGATTGCTGGGCTTGCGCGGTGCTGGTGACTCTCCAAAACTTGCTGGTCGGTGCGCTCAACCTCCTCTTGGCCGGATGCGTCTTTGGGTTGATTCTGCTGCCGGCTGGGGTCCTTTTGGGCTTCGGATTTCTCTGCCATTCCAAGGTCAGTGGTCCTGGGGGGGATGCGGGGGTCAAAACTGGGAGGGAGGGGGTCACAAATGTAGGTCGGAAAGGCACCGAGTTTGGGGAGGGGGAGGCGAGGGACCCCAAGAAGGAGAGGTCCCCCCCCCACCGCCCATCACCATTCCTTGCAAACTGCAGCTCTCCAAATGGGGAAGGGGTCGGTTGTGCGTTTCGTCTCTTCGGGGTAGGAAGGGAGGAGGGATAGATTAGGGGGAAGGAAGGAGGACTGCGTGGGGATGGGGGGGGTCCTGAGCTTGGAAATCAACCCCCCCTCCTCTCCCCCAAAAAGGTTTGGGGGTGGGAGAGAGAGAGGCTGCAAAAGTCCGCCTTTGCGCACGTGCGCGCGCGGAGGTGCCTTGCTCCCAGGTCTCTTTAATCGGCATTCCGACGTTACCAAAAAAAAAAAGTTGTTGGAAACTTTGGAGGGGGGGCGGAGAAGTGCAGAGAAGAGCAATTTAAGCTGATGGTTAAAGGCCCGGAGAGTAAAACATAGGAAGAACGGTTGCTGGAATTGGAGATGTCTGGTTTGATGAAAAAGAAGGACTTAGGGGAGCCAGGATAGCAGTCTTCCAGGATTTGAGGGGCTGCCCCAAAGAAGAGAGGGAGGGGGTTTTCCACCTATTCTCCAAAGCACCAGGAGCAACGGGTGGAAACTAATCAAGGAGAGAAGCAACCTGGACTGAAGGAGAAATTTCCTGAGAGTGAGAAGAATTAACCAGTGGAACTGCCTGCCTCCAGAAGTTGGTGAGTGCTCCAACACTGGAGGCTTTTAAGAAGAGATTGAACAACCATTTGTCTGGAATGGGATAGGTCAGGATCTCCTGCTGGAGTGGTGGTGAGGGGGGGGGTGGACGAGAAGGCCTCCAAGGTCCCTTCTGTTCCGATTGATAGTGGCAGGCAGTCGCTGCTCCAGATCTTCAGGGATCATAGAATAGAACAGAATCATTAGAAGGATGGGATGGGATGGAATAGGGATAGGATAGGATAGGATAGGATAGGATAGGATAGGATAGGATAGGCCCGGATTGTGAGGGCAATAAGCTGACTTTGTATAAAAAAGAACACCGCTTAGGGGCCCCCCGAAAGGGATAGGATAGGATAGGATAGGATAGGATAGGATAGGATAGGATAGGGATGGGGATGAGATGGGATAGGGATGGGGATGAGATGGGATATAGGATAGGATAGGATAGGGGTGAGATGGGATGGGATGGGATGGGATGGAATAGGGATGAGATGGGATATAGGATAGGATAGGATAGGGATGAGATGGGATGGGATGGGATGGAGGATAAGATGGGATGGGATGGGATGGGATGGGATGGGATGGGATAGGATAGGATAGGATAGGATAGGATAGGAATGGGGATGGGATGGGATGGGATGGAATAATAATAGAATAGAATAGAATAATAATAGAATAATAATAGAATAATAATAGAATAGAATAGAATAGAATAGAATAGAATAGAATAGAATAGAATAGAATAGAATATTCTTTATTGGCCAAGTGTGATTGGACACAGAAGGAATTTGTCTTCAGTGCCTAAGCTCTCAGTGTACATAAAAGCTATAAGCGATCAATCACGATCTTGGTCATCCTAAAAACACATTCATCATAAATCATAAGACACAACACTTGGTGATAGTCATAGCTATCAACATAAATCATATACTAGGAAGCTAAATAAAATAATATAAATTGTAAAGATCCAAGCAACAAACTTATAGTCCTAAGTAGAAAAGGAGATGGGTAATAGGAAAGATAGAAGAAGAAGAAGAAGAAGAAGAAGAAGAAGAAGAAGAAGAAGAAGAAGAAGAAGAAGGGGAAGAGGAAGAGGAAGAGGAGGAGGAGGAAGAAGGAGAAGAGGAAGAGGAAGAGGAGGAGAAGGAGAAGGAGAAGAAGAAGTGGAAGAGGAGGAAGAAGAAGAGGAAGAGGAGGAGGAGGAGAAGGAGAAGAAGAAGAAGAAGAAGAAGAAGTGGAAGAGGAGGAGGAAGAAGAAGAAGAAGAGTAATACAGCCTTACTAAATAGTTGGGCAGTGTTGTGGGAAGGAGTTGTTGAGCAGAGGGATAGCACGGGGAAGAAAAAAATTACCCATTTGTCTTAATTGACAAAATTGGTGTGCAATGCCTTATAGTGTCGTTTTGAGGGTAGAAGTTGAAACAACGCAGGGATCATCAAGAGGAGGCTGGAAACTCTCCTGAATCATCCATTGTGGAATTTTTCCGCCTTGGAATGAAATCCAAGGGATGTAAAAAAAAAAATTAAAAAAAAAGCTGCTTCCAGATTCTTTCTGATTTGGGGCTAGGGTAGATTAACCCAGCTCCCAAGTCAGACCAATTAGTGTAATTCTAATTTGCAGCGTGCAAGTTTAAAAAAAGAGAAAATGAAATTAAATAAAGCAGGCAGTCCTTAAGTTTGGGTGACCGTGTGCAGTGACGGGGAGAATTTCCAGCTCTCCCAGCTTTGGAGGTAACGCGTGGGGGGGAGGGGGCTTCGGAAACCCGGCGGAGGCTTTGATGTGCTCTCTTAAAAGGGGCTGGGGTGTGAATATTGAGCCCAGAAAGGAGGCACTGATGTGGCCAGCGGTGGGGGAGAAAAAAAAAATCTCATTTTGGAACAATGAGGAAGTGTCACACTTTACATACAAAAATCACAGAGTTGGAAGGGACCTCGGAGGTCTTCTAGTCCAACCCCCTGCTTGGGCAGGAAACCCTACACTGCTGTCAGTGGGTAATCCCTCGGGAGCGAGATAGGCAGCGCACAAAACTTAATCAAGAAAATAAATTTTTTAAAAATATCAGGGCGTAATCCGTCATTCAACTCAACGTAAAACATCTGGGCTCAAAGCATCCTCAGCCAGAGGTTGCCGTAAGGAAGGAGGGCAGGATCTCCTCCGTCCTGTGTACCCTCCCCAAAGTTGGCTTGAATCCCTTGGGGGAGGGGGTGTCTCCCCAGTTCCCTGTCTCGTAATTCTTCTGACCGCTCGAGCACTGTGGTTTGTGCCAGAATGGCAATTGCCTCCTGCAGCTCGCATGCCACTCTTGGGGTTTAAATTGAGTGGAATAGAGACTAGGTGGCAAATATATTGAGTGCATCAGTAAATTGAACCAATAAAATTCATTTGCAAAAGCGTGTCTCCCCCCCCCATCTATAAAAATCTGTTTCCCCGGTGGGGGAAACTGAGGCAAAGGGGGTGCGTGAGCGAGCGTCTTTGTGTGCAGAGAGAGAAAGGAACCTTGGAGGTCTTCTAGTCCAACCCCGTTCAAGCAGGAGATCCTATACCAATTCCGACAAATGGCTGCGCCAGTCTCTTCTTAAAAACCTCCGGCGATGGAGCAGCCAACAATGTCTGGAGGCAAGACAGAAGAATAGCGTTGAAAGGGCCCTCGGAGGTCTTCTAGTCTGACCCCATGTCCGATTGGACAACAATTTGTTGTCCAATCAGACAACAAATGGTCGTCCGATTCTCAAAAACCTTCCGGCGATAGAGCGCCCACAATTTCTGGGGCCTGAAAAGACCTTAAAGGGTGTAGTGGGATGAGCCGATGAGCCACTCTGCACATGCTCCGCTTCCGGCAATTTGCAGCGTTAAGAAAACACGGGCCTTTGAAGGGCTGCTGGAGTTTTTCAGCGAAGCCGTCTGGGAGATTTGGCCAGATCGTGTCCAGATCTCCAGACCAGGCCCAACCCTGGAATTCAGTTGGCCTCCCAGCTACCCCCCCCCCTCCCCTGAGCCAACCTACCCACCCACCAGCCACGGAAGTCGTGCTCCTTCCCCCCCCCAATGCCCCCTCCAAGGTTGGCGTGGCAACTGCGGGGTCGTCTCCCCCCTGGGAGAGCTTTGGGAGTGGGGGAGAGGCAAATGTTTTGGGATTAAGTCTCCGGCCTGGATCCCGAGCTGAGATCTGAGAGTGGGGGCTGTTGCACATCCCACTCTGGGTGGAATGCAAGTGGATGGTAGGTTAGCCCCCTGCCCCATTTTTTGGTGGGGGGGAGGGGGTCAGACAACTTCTCTGGAATTGCAAGATCTTCTCTCCCTCTTTGTAATAAAATGGGCATCTGTTTACTAGCATGCTTGGATTCTTGACACTTTGATTCCCCCCCCCAGTAGTTGTGAGAATGAACATGGCGGTGAGATGCTCGGGAATGGGGAAGGATCCTGCATGTGAGAATAAGACAACCCCCAGGTCATGCGTTAGTCGGTGGTACCCAAAATGCACAGGTTTTGCATGGCTAATTCCATGCAAAATGTTAGTAGAACAGTGTTCAACCTTGGTCACTTAAAGACTTGTGGACTTCAACTCCCAGAATTCCTCAGCTAGCCATGTAGGGTAACTTTCTTAATAGACAGTGGGTATGTAGTAAGCATAATATATCTTAACTTCAGCAAAGTGGGGAAAAAGAAAAAGCTGGCTGGGGAATTCTGGGAGTTGAAGTCCACAAGTCTTAAAACAAGGGTCTCCAACCTTGGTCACTTTAAGACCTGTGGACTTCAACTCCCAGAATTCCCCTGCCAGCCATGTAGGGTAACTTTCTTAATAGACGGTGGGTATGCAGTAAGCATAATATATCTTGACTTCAGCAAAGTGAGGGGAAAAAAAAGAGAGCTGGCTGGGGAATTCTGGGAGTTGAAGTCCACAAATCTTAAAGCGACCAAGGTTGGACAGCCTTTGTCCTCAACATACGACCACAATTGAGCCCAACATTTATGTTGTTAAGTGAGATATTTGTTAAGGGAGTTTTGCCCCATTTTTTATAGCTTTTCTTGCCACGTTTGTTAAGCGAATCACTGCCGTTGCTAAATTAGTACCGCTGTTGTTAAGTGAATCTGGCTTCCCCCCTTGACTTTGCTCGTCAGAAGGGGGCAAAAATCACATGACTCTGGGACATTGCGACCGTCATAAATGTGAGTTGTCAAGCGTCGGAATGTAAATCACCTGACTATGGAGATGTTGCAAAGGTTGTAAGTGTGAAAAACGGTCCCAAGTCCCTTTTTTCCGTGATGTAACCTTGAACCGTCACTAAACGGAACTGCCGTAAGTCGAAGACTACCTGCATTCATGCATATTGAGGAAGACAAGAGTTGTAAACTCATGAAATCAACGCCCGGATTATTTCAGATATCGACGACAAAGTGGCTTTTAAGCAGCTCTGTAAACCCATATAAGTTTATTTTCGTATTTATTTAAACAATATGTGTGCCTAAAATAGGATTATAACTTCTTCAGTTTATCCTCATAAAACTCAACTGAAAATTAAAGTGTTTATAACATTTGAAAGTTATTTGAATTTGGCGCTCTGAACGAAAGGTTGCAGATTTTACGTCTGAGGGTCATTTTCCACGATCCTGCAAACCACCGCACCAAAATGAGTTAGTCTTACCTATAACTTGTCACCTTACATTTAATTTAATATAAATTAAATTAAAATTTAATCTTTCGAGCCGGAATCGAGTTTTTGTCAATGCAGGAGTGTTTAAAAAAGAAAATAAAGTGGATTTCCTCAGAATGTTTACCTAGTTCGGTACAGTTGTAGCCTAAAATTGCATTTGCACGAAATTTCGTGCAAACGCTCGTGCAAGTTACAACTCCACCGACGAACATCAATGTGTAAAGAGCAACTCATAAGTAGAAATGCATCTTCCTTCATTTGTGATAAATGCAGGTAAATTCGACCTGTCCAGTCTGGGATATTTCTCATTTTCGATTTTAAAAAGGGATCGAAATTCAGCTTACAGTCCCAGCTCACAAAAATACAATTGACCCTCAACATTTCCATCATTAAATGAAATGTTGGTGAAGTGAGTTTCATCCCTGCCACTGACAAGCTAGTCATAGTAACTCGGTTGTTAAGTGACTTTGCTGATCAGAAGGTCGCAAAAGGTTGACTCCCAGGGATGCTACGACAGTCATAAATACGAGTCAGTGGCCGAGTGTCTGAATTTGGATCGCCTGAGCGTGGGGGAATGCTGCGAAGGTCGTAACTGTGGGAAACGGTCCTAAGTCACATTTTTTTCAGTGTCGTCATAACTTTGAACGGTCACTAAATGAACTGTCGTAAGTCGAGGACTGCCTATAATTCTGAGATCCGAAGGCGGCAATTTTTAATTTTGACCCACATAGAAACCAGCTGAGATTCAGAAGGGAAGCTTGTTGCGCTTAGCGAAACAAGACATAAATGATTATTTATCTGCCCGTTGCGGAATCTTACGCCGGGAACCAATGTGGCATCGAGTCTCTTGGGGGTTTGAGGGGGGGTTCCCCCCCAAATTTAATAAAATATTGGGGGGGGAAATCCAACTTGCAGCTGGTCACCGCCCTTCCGAAATGGAGCTGGGCCCAGGGCAACTTTCCCGTGACGCTTCTCGGCCACAGAATCAGTCAACAGGAAACCCCCAGCCCCGCCAGCCGGGAAGCTGCACCGGTTGGCCTCCCACCTTTCTGCCTGTCCCCGGCCAGTGAAGCAAGCCAGATGCCCAGGCTGGGGGCTGATAACCTGGGGGTGGGTGGGGGGAGACGCATTCCAGGCATAGCCCCGGCGGCCCCCTCCGCCCCCCCCTTGCTGCTCCTCTGTCCAAGGGGCGGAGGACAGATGGCCTTTAAAGGGATCTGCCCCACTTCTGTCCTCCTCCTCCCCTTTCTTCCTTCCTTCCTCTTTTCTATCTCCCTCTTTTTTCTGTCCTCCTTTTTTTCTTTCATTTTCTTTCCTTCCTTGCCCCTTTCTCTTTCCCTTCCTTTCCTTCCTCCTTTGCAGTTTCTCCTTTCTCCCTCTTTCCTCTCTTCAAATCCCAGAATTCAAACCTCCCTCCCTCCCTCCCTCCCTTTTTCTTTCTTCTTCCTTCCTTTTTCTTTTCTTTCTCCTTCCTTTTCTTTTTATTCCTCCCTTCTTCTTTCCCGTTCCTTCTTTTTCTTTCTTTCCTTCTTGTATTTTTTAAAAAATATTTTTTATTGTGATTTTTCCTTTTCCAAAACTCGAATTCATAATCAGACAGACGGTGTCATTTTTAGAGACGTTGGATTAAACAGTTCATATGGGATCCTTCTTGTATTCTATCTCCCTCCCTTCTTTTTTTATCTCCCTCCCCCTCCTCCTTTTCTATTTCCTTCCCTCCCTTCCTCCTTCCTTCCTTCCTCCCCACTGAGAGTGAGGTTACAACTCCCCTCACGCTTACCTGAGTTGGCCACCCGAATGACTGCTAAAAGAGCCGCGAAGGATCAAGGTGTGTGTGCTTGGGGGGGGGGAAGCTTCCGCTTCCTGAGCCAGGAAGATGCACCCCTATAATATGTGCCTTTGCACCCTGGGCATCTGGCTTCCTTGGCACGCGTGTGTGCGCCAGAGCCCGGCTTGTGGGGAAGATTCCTAACGGGCCCTTTCCCCTTTTTCTTTGCAGTTCCTGAACACCCAGGAGCCCTACTGCGCTGACCATTTGCACGACGCGGCCGCCGTGGGCCTGTTGGTGGTGGGCTTCACCCTGCTGGTGCCCCTCCTGGTCTTGGCCCTGGCCGCCTACTGTCGCCTGGCGCGCCGCCTGCAGCTCGGCTACTGCCTGGTGCCCTACAGCAAAGCCATTTACAAGAACCTGCCCGCCAGTCGCTACCACAGTGTGGGCTGTTGCGGCTGTTGCTCGCAGCACCTGGATGCGGCCGGGGAAAAAGTGTGGGTGTGAGGAGGGGGGAGGGTCTGGGGATAGGGGGAAGGAGAGGCCCGCCAAAGGAATCGGAAAGGCCTAGCAAAAACACCCGGATGGAATGGACTGGCTTCTCTTGGGCACGGAGGAGGTGGCTGGCACAAATTCCGAATGTCGAGCAGAAAACGAAACGGGTTGATTTTAGCCGCCAGGAAAAGAAAATGGAAGTTTTGATTCGGTCTCCCTAAGCGAGGACCTCAAAGTTTCTCCTACTCCATCTGGCTAATGGATCTGGAACCCCCCCCCCCTCTCGAACTCAGGACACGCCTGCTTGTTTGTCCCATGTTGCTGCTTTGCAAAGTGGTGTTTTCCAACCTCGCCGATTTTTTAAAAGGGATGGAATTCAATTCCCAGAATGCCCCAGCTAGGCATTCCGGGAGTTGAAGTCGATCTCTCAGAAAGTTGCGGAATTGGAAAACAGACAGCTAATGCATTTACGGAAATTGCTGCGAATGAATTAACCAGACATTCTCTTTATTATTATTATTATTATATACTTTGTACTTCGAGACTCTGGTGGCGCTATGCTTTTTTTTCAGAAAAAAAGTGGGAAGTTTATTGTCTAAAATAAGAGAACAGTCGGTCCTCGATTTACGGCAATTTGTTTAGCGACTGTTCGAAAAAAAGTGACTCCCCATAGGTCCTCGTGCGTACAACACCCCCCCCAGTCACTTGATCAAAATCGAGGTGTTTTGCCAACCAGCACGAATTTTGTGACACCTGCAGGATCTCAGGATCCCATGATCCCCATTTATGACCTTCCCGGCTGTCTTACGACGAGCCACATTCACGAGGGAACCTGGACTTGTTTAACGACTGCCTGATTCACTTAACAGCTGAGGTGATTTCCTTAACAAAAAAAAAAAAGTCGCAAAACCAAGCATGGCTCATCCACCTCGCTTAACAACGGAATTTCTTGTCCCGATTTGTGGTCAGAAGTCGAATTTTTAGCACAAATTTTCATTTGTCAAACACGAAAATGGATTTTGAGGCAGGCTGAAATTCAACAGACACGGTCGCAGCCTTGGATTGCATCCCTCTGAAATTCCCAGTATTCCAGACCGGTGCCGAATTTTTCCCAGTTTGCGATGCTTGTATTTGACGTTCAGGTTTAATGTCCCTTTGAATATTCCTGAAACTGGAATTGGGGGCGTTTCCCCTTTTCACAAACCCCAGTTTGTTCCCCAAAAGAAGGCAACTTGGTTCCATTAAGGATTTCCAGGAGAGGTAATAAAAAGAAATCAAGGGTTTCAACGTTTTCAAACTTCAGACTTCCAGAATTCCCCAGCCAGTAAAATAAAGCTGGATGGGGAATTCTGGGAATTGAAGTTCTGTTGGGGTGGCTTTTCTTCTGGCTGACATCAATGCAATTGGCATCCTTCCTCAACCCTTTGAGTAAATCAGAGTTTTTCAACCTTGACAACTTTTAAGACTTGTGGACTTCAACTCCCAGAATTCCCCAGCCAGCTCTTTTTTTTCCACTTTGCTGAAATCAAGATATATTACGCTTACTGCATACCCACCATCTATTAAGAAAGTTGCCCTACATGGCTGGCTGGGGAATTTTGGGAGTTGAAGTCCACAGATCTTCAAGTTGGGAGACCCCTGAACTAGCTCAGGGAAGGTGACTTTGGAAAGCAGGAATTGGCCTACGTGCCGTGTCTACCTGTGCCGAACGAAAAAGGCGATTGTCTTTTTTGTAATTAACTTTTGCGCTTGAAAACAGAGACGGTTTAAGTCCTGACTTAGCAGTCCAGCTTTCTTTCCTCTGGGCTGGAGATTTAGAATCCAGGGCTACAAACATGGTGACCGGGCTTTTAGGGGGCTGCGGAGACCCCAGCCCTTCCTGATGCTGCCTTGTTTTGTCCCCTAAAAAGGGATTCAGCCCCGTGCTACTCCGGATTGTGACGGACCACACAGGCTTCAACCCCAAAGGCACGTAGGCTCGAAGCGAAGGTTACTTGGGAGGTCTTGACTTCCGAGCCGGAAAAAGGGGGCATCTCCCCTTCGATTAAAAGCAGAAATTCAACAAGTTTTTTTGCTACGGCCGAAAACTGCCACTGGCCAAGGTGAATTTTGCAAGCTTCCAAAGGGCCCCGAGAGGCTGCCAAGGGAAGGGGACAGGAACCCGGCCGAACGAGCGGCAGGATAAGGAAGAACTGAATCAGCTCCCTGGGCGCCAACCAGCCCAGATGGAAACTCCACGTTCTGGGGGAGGAAGGAACCCCCTGATTAGATAAGCCAGGATAGCCGCTGGCTTGCACAAGCTCTCCATTGTGCGAGGGGGAAGAGAGAGAGAGAGAGGACGCAAACACAACAGACACACACAGGGTCTATCTATAGAGGCCGCTTCCTGCCGATTTGCAACCCGGATTTGGGAAGACAGCTTCGTGCCTCTTCCCAAGGCTGCTGGGGTGGGAAGGGCAGAGAAAAGTGGAGGGGTGGAGGTGCTTTCAGGGTCATCCGAGCCTTTTTTTGGGAAGCCGAAGGAGCGTCCCGTCAGCAAAGCCAGAGGACGGGCCTCCGTAATTCAAGTTTTAAACTCCGCTTTAGCATGGTTTTTTGTTGGAAAAATTAAAAGGGAGATGGACGGATTCCCCCGCTCTCCGGGACAAAGAAATTTTCTGTAATCAAAAGGGGGAAGGGGGCAGGAAAAAAAAAACTGCTTTCCATTGTTAGGGCATTAGGCAAAGCACCTGAAGGGCAGGACAAGAAGCAACGGGTGGAAACTCATCGAGGAGAGAAGCAACCTAGAACAGAAGGAGAAATTCCTTGGCAGTTAGAACAATGGATCCGTCTGAAGTGGTGTAGGGTTTCCTGCCTAAGCAGGGGGTTGGACTAGAAGACCTCCAAGGTCCCTGTTTCTCTGTTACTATTCTATTCTAAATTCTATATTTTATATTCTATTCTTTTCTAATTCTATTTTTATTATCTATGCTATATTTTATTGTCTATTCTATATTTTATTCTATTTCTATATTTTATTACCTATTCTATTCTAAATTCTATATATTCTATTTTATTCCATTCCATTCCATCCCATCCCATTCTATATTCTATTCTCTATTCTGTTCTCTTCTGTATTTTCTTCTGTATTCTCCTCTTCTCTCTTCTATTTTATTTTATTCTATTAATTCTATTCTATTCTATCCCATCCTATATTCTATTCTCTATTCTGTTCTCTTCTGTATTTTTTTCTGTATTCTCTTCTCTTCTCTCTTTTATTCTATTCTCTATTAATTCTATTCTATTCTATTCTATTCTATTCTATTCTATTCTATCCTATCCTATCCTATCCTATCCTATCCTATCCCTATCCCTATCCCTATCCCTATCCCTATCCCTATCCCTATCCCTATTCTATTCATTTTCCAGGAACATTCCAGGTGCCCATTTTCTGACTATCTTTGAAAGTTTAAGCCGGTGGAGGTTCAGCCTTGACTTCAACAGGCCAGTGTGAGGAGTGGGCTTTCTCCCCCCACCCTTTTTTTTTTAAAAAAATATTGTGATTTAAAGGAGAAGGGGGAACACCAGCAAAACCACATCTTTTTTAGGATTTTTTTTTTTTGGGGGGGAACATTTGGTGAATTTAAAAACAAAATGGGGTGGGGGGGGGGGGGGGAAACTGGAGACTGAGAAGGTCGGGGAGATTTTTCTGTAGGAAATAAGGAAGGAGCAAGAAGGAAGTTTTCTCCTTGCTCCAGCGTAAAAGGGTATTTATTCCTTTTGAGAAATTTGGCGCCTGTCTCTTTGGGGGCTTAACATACCTCCTTTCCCACGCCCTTCCCAAACTCTTGGCAACCTAAGCCAGGTTTGAATGATTTTGATCATTTTGGATCACTCGATCTTGAAAGATCCGGCAGATATTCCTGGATTCTGCCTAAGAGGGAAGACAACGTTAAGCGATCCTCGGCAGAAGGAAAGAGGGTTGAGTTTCCCCAGGGCCCCTGCCCAAACACACGCCAAACACAGCACGGGTGCAGAGTTCGAGATTTAACCAATAACAAGCAGGTACAAAGGTCCTTCCGGGTCAAAGGTCCTGGGTGGTAGGGAATCCTCCAGGTTGTAGGGCCGCAGGAGGGACCAGTTTTTGAGTGCGGTTTTTCGCCCTTCCTGGGCCTTGTCAAGAGCAAGTCGGTGGAAGAAATCTCAATTTTTTTTTAAAAAAAAATCTTCTCCGTCTCCTTCTCGTGTTCGAAAAACGTCTCGGAAAAACGACGGGGCTGCTTTCCAGCGACGGGCCCTTTCAGACGTACTGCAAGGAGTTCAGGCTCTCCAACTCGACTTCGATGGAGATAATGTGATGCCCGGGAACCATGGCTAAGCCCAGGACTCGGGGTTCGCCCGCCGAGAAGGAGTCTGAAGGCGACCGGGGGGGGGGGGGGGGGGGGGGGGGTTGGAGAGAGAGAGAGAAACAATCCTGAAGGAGGAGAGGGGCTCTGATGATCCTAACCTCCCTTGCTTCACTTCCCCAACAAACCCAGAATTTCTGATGGTTGAGTTTTTCTTTTTCCCCCCGTGAAGAATTTCGAGGGGCCATTGAAGATACCTAGCTCATCGTGGCTGGTTTTGGGGAAGGTCTTCCTTATCGGTGGGAATATAAAGGGGGTCTCCCTTCCCCTCCCCCATGCCAGAAATACTGCCCACATGATCCTCTGCCTTTCGGTCAGGCCACGCTGCAGGGGTCGGCAACCTTAAAACACTCAAAAGAGACGCAAAGCGCCTCACCGGAAGCCCCCCGTTCAATTCTGGAGCCGACCGGAAGTCCAGTTCCCCTATCATAGTCTCCTCCCCTTTTTCCTCTGCCAACCGGGAGTCCGGTTCCACCCCCACCATAGAGTTTCCTCCTAGCGTGGCATCCTTTTTCCTCTACTGGTCCTAACCGAAAGCCCTATCAATTGTGGAGCTGACCAACAGGGAACCGTAGCAGGGGGATGAAAGAGCCACATGCGGCTCCAGAGCTGCAGGTTGTTGACTCCTGAGCCACAGCATAGAAATACCTATAGAAGAGAATTATCTGTAGCTCAGGGTTGAACTGTGGAGTTCCTGCTGCTCCCTTGAGCTGGGTGGTTTTCTTGCAGACATCTCAGGACCCAACTAGGGGATGGAATCAGTGCTAGGAGGGAATGGGGTTGGTGGGGGGAGGAGGAGGAGGGGGACCTTGGAGTCCTTGGTGCTTTCGGAGCTTGGTGGTTTTCTTGCAGATATTTCATGACCCAACCAAGGAACATCACCAGTGCTACAAGGGAGTGGAGTTTGCCGAGAAAAAGAAGGAGGGAGGAGGAGGAGGGCTGTGGGGTTCCTGATGCTTTCTGAACCTGGTGGTTTTCTTGTAGACGTCTCATGACCCCACTTGGTTACGTCATCAGTGCTAGAAGGGAGGGAGGTTTGCAGAGGGGAGGGGAAGGGTGGGAGGAGGACGAAGGAGAAGAGGAGGACGCGGGGAACAGTGATGACTGTGGGGTCCTTGTTGGCTGTTTTCTTGCAGACATTTCATGACCCAACTAGGTAACATCATCAGTGCTGATGATCTTCATCAAGCCACTTGTATTAAAAAAGAGAGCAAATGCCCCTCCTTTCCAGGACGGATGATGCTGCCTAGATGGGTCATGAAGCAGCTGCAGAAAAACCACCAAGCTCAGAGAGCACCAAGGACACTACAGTCCTCCTCCTCCTCTTCTCTACTCTGCAAACCCTACTCCCTTCTAGGACTGATGATGTTCCATAGTTGGGTCATGAAACGTCTGGAAGAAAACCGCCCAGCTCAGAGAATATTTGAGTTTTGAAGAGATCTAGGGCATTTTTAGCGGGACAAACAAGGGCGCAGTTGTCAAAGACCAGGCTGGATGGGTGGGGGGTAGTGGGGGGGGACGACTCACCAGTGGGTTTCAGGTATTCTTGGGCAGAACCCAGGATGACGTTGCAGTCCCGGTCAGTGCACAAGAAACAGCCCACCAGGGTCCGTCCGTCCGTCATGCGAATCCGCAGGCTCTTGTTCAGGAGGTTCTCCAGCTTGCGACGTGCGCGCAGGTAAGGCGAGTCAGCCGTTTCTTCAACCGGGTCCTGCCAGAAACATCCAGAAAATATATCCTCCAAGTTCAGGAGAGCAGCTTTTTTTTTTTTTTTTTACATTATTATCAGGCATTTGATGGGAAGACAATGCCCAGATGTGTTAATGACAAAATAAAGTATTTTTTGGTTTTCTTTTGCTACCCACTTAAGGGCCACTTCATGCCGAAATCTTATTTATTCGTTTATTACATTTATAGGCTGCCCATCTCACTATCGAACGACTCTGGGTGTCATCAAGCCACCCTGAGTCGTTTGATTGTGTGTCCAATCACACGGCCAATAAAATTCTATTCTATTCTATTCTATTCTATTCTCTATTTATTCTGTTCTGTTCTCTATTTATTCTGTTCTATTTTATTTTTCTCTTCTCTATTCTATTCTATTCTATTCTGTTATCTATTTATTTTATTCTGTTGTATTCTGTTGTATTCTATTCTATATTCTATTCTATATTCTGTTCTATTCTCTATTTATTCTGTTCTATTCTATTCTATTCTATTCTCTATTTATTCTATTCTATTCTCTATTTATTCTGTTCTATTCTATTTTATTCTTTTCTTCTCTATTCTATTATCTATTTATTTTATTCTGTTCTATTTTATTCTTCTCTTCTCTATTCTGTTATCTATTTATTTTATTCTGTTGTATTCTGTTGTATTCTATTCTATATTCTATTCTATATTCTGTTCTATTCTATTCTCTATTTATTCTGTTTTATTCTCTATTTATTTTGTTGTATTCTATTCTATTCTTTGTTCTATTTTCTATTTATTCTTTTCTCTTCTCTATGCTCTTCTATTCTCTATTTATTCTGTTCTGTTCTGTTCTATTCTATTCACATACATACATAATTGTATTGAATAGTTTTTATATATATATATATATATACATTACATACATACATATATATATATATATATATAACTATTTAATACAATAATATATATTAACCATAGTAGACATTTAATATACTATAGTTAACCTATATTAACTCTAATTAATTTTTTTAAAATTGTATTAACCTGTTATATAACAACTGTCTCACTTAGCCACGGAAGTCTTGGGCTCTACTGCGGTCGTAAGTCAAGGACTGCCTGTATTATCGTATAATATAATAATGTGTACATCATTTTGTGTGTGTCTGTATAACATTATAACTATTTAATAGCAATAGCTATATATATATATATATATATATATATATATATATATATATATATATATATAAACCATAACAGACATTTATTTAGACAGTCTAAATCTATAGTTGACATAATGTATATTAACTATAAATAAAATTTTAATTATATTAAGCTATTATGCGGAGACACATATAATAATATTAAAAGTATTATTGAGGGGCCAGAGTTTCCTATTCCCAGCTGAGCAGGATGGACTTTGTAGTCCCCCAGCGCTGCCCTCGAAGGGGAAGGCTCCTGTATGTATCCCCGCACCTCCGCCCGGTCCTTCCCTCACCTCGGGGGCGCTGCTGTTTCCGCAGCCGTTTTCGTCCGACTCCCGAGGAAGCGGAGGCGGCGGCGGTTGCCTCAGCATCGGCTCCTGGGCCGGCGGGGCCGCCATCTTGCCGAGGGAACTACCTTTCCCACAAGGTTCTGCGGCCCTGGAGGCGTTACGCACGCAAAGCACGCACGCACACGCACGCACGCGACGTCCGGCTTCTTCGGCACCGCCCACTGGGGGGAGCGAGAGAGCGAGCCTGCGATTCCCGTGGGGCCTTGCGGCGGCGCGTTGCCAAGGGCAGCGAGGGACGCGGCGCATGCGCCCGGGCGACGATCATGGAGGGCTCCTTCCGACCGCGTTTCTACACGCCGCGGGAGGTGACGGTGCACAACAGGCCGTGGGACCTCTGGGTCTCCTATCTGGGGCGGGTCTACGACCTCAGCCCCCTGTCCGAAGAGTACAGGGGTAAGGGCGGGGGGGGAAGGGGCGGAGTTTCGGGGGCAGGGCTCTCCCAAGCGGAGCCTCCAGGTGGAGAGGCAGTCTACCTGAACGGGGGGGGGGGGGAGGAGGAGGAAGAGGAAGGCGACCTTGCGGGCTATCCGAGACGGGAGTAAGAGAAGAAAGGAGCTGGTTGGGGGCAAATCCAAAGCTTTCATAGCTCTGGGGTGGTCAAAAAAGTCAAGATGGCGGCCTTCCCCATGCAGTCATGAACTTGCATTGCCCCAGAAGCATAAGACCATCGTTCCCCGACAAAACTTTAAAAAAACAAAGTAACAGTCAAGCTAAAATCAATCATAAAAAGGGCAGAATTGACGGACAGCTCTTTCCGCATTCCTGTTGTGTGGTGGTGGCCGCCATGTTGACTCTTTTGACCCCCTGAGACTCTGGATGCTCCTGGGGGTCCCTCAGATACGGAGTGGCTCTAATGCGGATCCTGGCTTCTCTCTCCGCGCAGGGGACCTCCTCATGAAGCCCCTCCTGGAAGTGGCAGGGAAAGACATCAGCCACTGGTTCAACCCCAGGACCAGAGACGTGAGTGTCCGGAGAGGCCGGGCAAGGCTTCTGAATAAACCCAGGGAGTTGGGCAGGTGGGGAATGCCCGCAGGGAGTCCTCGCCTTACGACCCGTCACTTAAATGATCGGCTACAATGGGATCTGAAAAAAGGAGCTTGCTCTCTGCTCTCCGTGTCTACGGAGATTCTCCCCTCATCCAGGTCAAGGTTGCTTTTTTCAAAAGGCAACTGGATTTTATTTATTCCTTTTTTTGAAAAAGTGCCTTTGGGCCCATCTTTTTGCTCATGGTATCGATGTATTTATTCTAGTTCTGTTACTGGCTTCAGCGACAGTCGTAAGTTGAGGACCGCCTGCGTTCCACAGGGCCTGTTTCTTTTTTTTTGCTCAGACTTCGAGATTTTCTGATCCTAATGTTTGAAAGAGTTCATCTTTGGAGACTTAGGAATGAAGCAAAAGGCCTCTTCCTTTGACGAGAAAAGATTGCTGTTAAATGGGGAGCCCTTCGTCGGGTGGCCTGATTGGTGGGAACCATCCTTGTTAGATGGTGGTTGAATCTGGGCTTTCCACCCTGTGCCCGTTCCTTGCAGATTCAGACACACATCGATCCCCTCACGGGCTGCCTCAAGTACTACACACCCCAGGGCCGGTTTGTGCACATCCCGCCGCCTCTCCCTCGCTCGGACTGGGCCAATGATTTTGGGGTGCCCTGGTGGAAAAACCCCATCTACGAAATCGGCATCTTGTCTGCGAAAACCCGGCACATTCGGATCATCAACACTCTGACTTCTCAGGAGCAGACCCTCGAGGTGAGTCCCATCCTCCCCAGCCCTTGCCTGGCCCCCAAGACCATCTTCTTCCCTGGGCGACTTGCGGGTGTATTAACACAGCAGGCTTGAGCTGGGCGGTTGTTAGGTTTAGGCTGGAAATTGGGTGAGAGTCGGTTGGTGTGGTGGTGAAGGCAATGGGCTAGGAACCAGGAGAGGGGGAATTCTAGTCCTGCCTTTAGGCATGAAAGCCGGCTGGGTGACTTTGGGCCGATCACCAGGAGATGGTGAGTTCTAGTCCTGCCTTGGGCATGAAAGCCGGCTGGGTGACTTGGGATCAATCACCAGGAGATGGTGAGTTCTAGTCCTGCCTTGAGTATGAAAGCTGGCTGGGTGACTTTGGGATCAATCACCAGGAGATGGTGAGTTCTAGTCCTGCCTTGAGTATGAAAGCTGGCTGGGTGACTTGGGCCAATCACTAGGAGGTGGTGAGTTGTAGTCCTAGGAGCCAGCTATGAAAGACAGTTGGTGACTTTGTGCCAATCAACAGGAGACAGCGATCGTAGTCCCACCTTAGGCATGAAAGCTGGCTTTATGACCTTGTGCCGGCCACTTTCTCCCAACCCTAGGAAGGAGGCAATGGCAAACCACTTCTGAGGAAACTTGCAGGGATTTGTCCAGGCAGTCTTTGAGAACCAGACAAGATTAAACAAATGAAAACAAAAACAAAAACAAACACCTTTATAGCTGTACCAGATATATGCTTAGGGTTAACTACGATTAGGGTTTATATAGGGCTTGTTTGGGGAGCATTCAGTTCAACCTACAGACCGGGTTAAAGAGTCAACTTGAACACAGGCCCCGAGGAAGTCAAAGTTGACCCGTTCCGTTCCATTCCCACCTTGAACCCAGGGAGAGGGGGGGGGAGGGGAATCAAGGGTGTCCCCTGCCCTCCTGCTGTGGGTCCCGTGGAGAACTGTGGCTCTGTCTGCAGGTCTGTTCAGAAGAAACCATGTGGGAGATCTTGAGGCGCTACCTGCCCTACAACGCGCACGCCGCCAGTTACACGTGGAAATACCACGGCGTCTGCCTGGAGATGGACAAGAACCTTGAGAACAACAACATCCCCGATGAAGACGAGGAGTTCTACCAGCTCAACATGGACGCCGACGCCTTCACGACTGCCATTTTGCTCTACTTTAACGATGACCTCACTGAGCTCTAGAAACCTGCCTAGTCGTGGGCCTATTTCCCTCCAGCTGGAAGGGCCAGTTAGGTGTTCCTTCTTCTCACCAGCAGCTGCAGGACACAGAGCTTATCTTTAAGGGACGGCAGCAAAGTTGGTCCTTGGTCCATTTTTCTCTCCAAGAACAAGACTTGGTGGAAAGGAAGATGCACCTCAAATGATGGTGATGGGTCCCTAAAAATACGATCTCCTGGTCTTGTGAATGTCCACCTGGGCTCTCACTGCTACCGCCACTAGATGTCAGTCGTGGCTCACGGTGCAGCCGTTTTGAAGCTCTCTCGTTCTTCACATGGGTTTTAAAAAAATAATTGCATTTTATTATCCTGCAGGCCTGGAGCTAGGAAAGCAGCTTTGCTCCCGGGCTGGCCCTTTTATCCGGAGAGGGACCCACGGAAATTTGTATTTTGACTTTTAAACTGGGGTCCTCTGGCTTGAACATTCTGCTTTACCCCGAAGGAAATTAAGTAATCTCGCGGCAAGTATTTGCGCCTGCTTGAGATGTTTCAAAGGCTTGTTTGGAGGAGTGGTTGGAGGTGGAGGAATGAAAATCCCCTCGGAAGATAAGTGGGATAAAAATAAAACAGCAAAACGTAAGATGTTTGCGGTGAGAAGACATAATTGTCCGGCCTTACTTAAAAAAAAAACCCACGATGAATAGAGCAAATCTTTAATAAATCAATAAATCTTTTTATTGCGTAACTTCTGATGTTAAGGGGCAAAAAAATATGTGACTATCGGTATCAAATATCCTCTGGGTGCTTATTTTCTCAGAAGTAAGCCTGCTGCAATCTGTTTAACAAGGGTGATTTTGTAGGAACTCTCTTCAGGATTGATTGCAGCCAAAACTTGTCATAAACTGGTTATTTCCAAAGAAAATACGTTTAACGGCAAAGTTGCATCCGAGTCAAACTTGGTCGTTGGCGTATTTGGGAACATGGACGCATAGAGAGGTCTTTGGCGCTGGTACCCGAGTGGTTTGTCATTGTTTTCTTCTGGGATGTCTGTGTATTTCCTGGTGGTCTTCTATCCCATATTAACCTAGTTTGTTTAGTTTGGAAATCAAGACAAAATCACTTAGGTGAGGCCGTATGCCCGAGTACAGAAAAAATATTTTACATTTATTTATTTATTTAAAATATTTACAGAGCTGCCCATTTTTCAGCCAGCCCTGGGCAGCTTCCAATCAAAACTTTAAAAGACATAAAGAAATTGTTTTTTTAAAAAAAAACATAAAATGCAACCAGTTGAAAGATAAAACAAAAAACTTGGGGGTTTCAGGTGCGCTTGTGGAAAAGCTAGGTGTTTCCCACGTCCATTTCCTCTGGAGGTAGGGGCATGGAAACCAATGATTCTTCCTTTTAGCGTTCGTAAATCATCCGTTTCTGCCATCAAGCATTATAGATTGTGTGGTGCTTTTTATGATCAGTTTCCAGGGTTCACAGCTCCAGTATGTCAGACATCATTTAAATCTTCATTTTAAAAAGTCCAAAGTGTTTCCTTAAATATATATATATAAATATAAATATATATAAATATATATACATACATACATACAAATACAATGGAGTCCAAAATTGATCTCACCAAACAAGACAGTTAATAAGTTTTGCCCCATGTCACGACTTTCCTGGCCACTGTTGTTAAGTGAATCACTGCACTTGTTAAAAATAGGAACATGATAAGTGCATCCGGCTCCCCCGTGGACTTTGCTTGTCAGAAGGTTGCAAAAGGTACTCGCTTGTCCCCAGGACACTGCAGCCATCATAAATATGAGTCAGTTGCCGAGCATTCGAATTTTGCTCAAAGTGACCATGGGGATGCTGCAAGAGTCATTAAGTCTTTAAAAGGGTCATAATGGTCGCTATTTTCAGTATTGTCGTAACCTCAAATGATCACTTAAGTCAAGGACTACCTGTGATAATTCTGCATCTAAAATAGAGGTTAAAACAACCGCACTAGAAGGGTTTCTAGCCCATAGTGATCCCGAGATGCAGCTTCTGTTAAGGAAGGCATTCTGTGGCTTGGGTTGTCTCTATCGGCGCTCTCGTGTTTTAAAACAGCGGCTCTTGAAAGACGTGTCTGGGTGCTTCTGCTGTTCCAGAGGTTAGGGTGGGCCACTGCAGCCCCTTTACGACCTGTGGACCTCAACTCCCAGAATTCCTGAGGGAGGCAGCTAGGTTGGCAAAGGGCCATACTTGCCCATCCCTGGCTTAGAGGATGGTCATCGGAGAGAGGCCTCGAGGAGCTCTTGAGATCCAAGGCTCAGATGCACGGTCCCACGAGGCGGGGAATTTCCGTGGAGGGACAGCCACTGTAAGAGAGCAGAAAAGACTCAAGGATTAAGTCGGCCCTTTGGGGATCTGGGAGTTTAACCCTCCTCTGTAAGTGTCCAAGTGTGCTAATTGCAGGAGTGTGATCTGTGGTGGCTGGTGTATCCCGCAGGGCCTGCCTTCCGCCTCTGTCCATCTTGCTTTCTGAGCCTGCTATTTACAGGGGTGGGGGTAGAAACGCAGAGTGAGCCAGCGCTGGGTGGTATCGCGCATACACGACTGACCACCTGGGGTGGGGTGGGGGGAACACGCGTTTCAGTTTGCAAAGCAAATGAGTTGCTGGTCTGGAGGTCTTCCAGGGTTGACCTTCTGCTCTACTAGCCGCTCGCGAGGGCACTCTAGTTTGTTTCCCAATCCACTTCCTGTCAGCTCTTGATCCAAAAACCAGTCAAGCAGGGGCCGTGATTGATGTGGTTCCTAGAGAAAACTGTAGGCTGATTTTTTTTTTTTTTGGGCGGGGGGGAGGAGGCATAGAGAAGAGGGATCTGCTAAGAGATCGCCAAAGTCCCATCTGGGGTGGATGTGCAGAGAGCGTAGGGGAAACTTAATCTATGACCCCAAAGAAGGAATGTTCTACTCCTGTGACTTTAACAATGGAAGTGGGGGGGGGCACCCTACAGACCTTGACCTGGAAGGTCTGCTCTTAATCTGACTTGGCAGAAGGCGGTGACAGAAGAAGAAGGCTTCTGTTCCCTTCTCAGGTCAACCTTGGCAGCCGCCCGGGAACAAGGCCTCTGTCTCTGCCCTCTGGGTCTGCTCCCTCCCGCAGTCAGGGCAGGGAGGGCGGGAGGGGGAGAGGGAGAGAGAGAGAGAGAGACGGGTGGGCATGGGTCCTTTTCCACATAATGCTAGTAAGGCTGTGGCAACATCAGGCCAGCTGTCCTTTTTTCTCCCTCCTTGTTCGGCTCCTGTCTGTGACAGCTGTTAGAGGGAAAGGGGGGGGGGGGGGGGGGGGGGGGGGGGGGGGGAAGAGAAATCCTAAGTGTGGGTTGTGAAATGAGACTTGAAGGTCAAATATTATCTACAGTTCTGGCAAGCCCCATCACCCCCAGGGAGATTTTCACTTGTACCGAGAACAGATGGGATTGTTGCCATCCATCCTCCAGACTCCCATCTTTTGTGTGTATGGGGTGGGGGGGGGGGGGGGGGGAAACCAACCCCCCCCCCTACAAAGAATGCTTCCGACCTTCTTTTCTCTTCCTTCCAGTGCTGGGCTGCCTCTCCTCCCACCTGCTCCTGCCTTTAACCCTAGCAAACTCTCTCTTCCATCTGACAGCTGCTTTGCAGAAGAGAAGCCTTGGCTGTGGCTTGCTCCTTTTCCTCCCCCTGCCCACCCCTCACCCCCACCCCCACTTCTGGCCTTTTGCTCCGCGGGGGGAAACACAGGTCTTCCAAAAGGATTGCACTCTGTAGCAGTTTTTGTCATCATCATCATTATTAAATAACTAACATTCCCGTTATAAGTACATCGCTATTTCTATGCCTAGTAAGCTAATCAGCTAAACTAGGAAAACGGTTCGGCCAAGAAGTTTGTTACAGGAAGAAAGGCTGATATTTTTACCAGCTGCTTAATAACCGCAGAGCGCCTGGGCTTAAGGAGCCCGCTGGCAGTGGCCACTGAGGGATCAGGAATTGCTCGGGTATTTCAGAGGCAATTGTACAGGCAGCTTAAGCCGGACGAGGTCTACGGGGTTGTGGTAGAGGCAGCTCCTCCAACAGAGCTGCTAAGCCAAGTGGGCCCTTGGAAAGCGTGACCTGGAATCACCGGCTGCGGAAGGCCTGGTGGGAACGTTTAGCCCACTTAACATCCAACCTTCACAAGCAGCTGGAAAGTTGTGGCAAGTTTTCAAGGATTGGGCCGAGAGGTCTGGACCTGGAGGCTAAACTCTGGCAGGAGGTGGCTGACCTCACGGGATGGATTTGTGACAAGAGGCTGCTCTCCGTTTGATCTTTTGCACCCACGTCTCCCATTCCTCCAGGTTCTCAGTTGCGTGCTTGAGCAATCGCCAGGGGAAGAGCTTTAAGCCGCCAAACACGCACAGCAGGACAGCAGCCGTTCCCTGAAGGGAAGGGAAGGGCAGGCCTACGGTGTGAAGAGGGCCACATCTTCGGGCCCTTTTGAAAGCCAGCCAAGGGGCAGCGTGCTGGGGATAAACGGGTGAAATAAAGACCAAGCCCCGCATCCCTTGATGGGATTCCTGGCATTTTGGACCTTGCGAAGAAACTCCAAAGACGGGCGTGCGGAGAAGGACGTTTTCCCCCTTCCCGTCTCTCGCCTTGGACAGGGAGGACCGAAGGACTTGGGGCCAGGTTCAGAGAATTACGTTTATAGACTTTGTGGCGTTAACCGATGGGCGAGATGAAGCTCAGAGCTGGTGAAACCTCAAATTCAGATGCTGCTGTGCCGATTCAGGCTCCCTCCTTCCATTAGGAAGGGGAGTGATGGTACGCACACTAGAAAGCACATTTCTCAGTCAAAGACTTTGATAGCGTGAAACCTCAAATGCTCTTGTGGAGCACTGGCTTCCAGCATTGCCAGGGAAATGTTTCAACATGAATGAATGGGATTGGCGCCCACTGGCTCCTGGAGGGCTTCAGAGGGTGTTGCGTTAAATGTAAAAGCCACACGGGGGATAACATTCATTTGGCAAACGGTGTCTCCTGCAGGCACAGTTACTCCTCTGTGGACATTTATAACTGGTCTACAGGGGGGAGAAAGCTTAGACTGAGCTTGGAAGAGTCGTAAAAAGAGACAAGAAAAGGTGCACTGTAATATTTACACGGTCCTCCTTTCTGGTCCCATAAAGAGGCTCTTCCCATCCCAGCCAATCAACTGAAGCGAGGGTCCCATCATCGCTTCCTAGTGTCATTTCTGGATATTATGAAGGGTGATATGGCAGGAATTTAAATATATATGCATATAAAAAAGCTGTACTGATACCGGCAAGGTTTTCTTTCCTGGGCTATTTGGCCTCATTTTGTACTTTTAGAAAATTGCAGACGGAGAAAATCTGCAGATGCAGTCCCCAAAAGTAAATTTGGAGTAAATTTTTGCCACCGCATCCAACACACTACAAAATACACTGTGTGTTGAAACAGGACTCTTGCTCTGTGGTCCGGTTTCAATAAAGTTGGAATACTTTGAATAAGCCTCATTGTTTCCAGATTTATTATTCTAAGACTCACCATTTTAAATGGGATTACCCTGAGTGAAGGAACATTGTGCTTGTAGACGATTGTTCTGTAAGATCTCTATCCAGCATCGAGCCCTTCAGGGTTCGGAATATTTTCTTTTTCTAGTTGGAGTCCAAGAACCAGAGAGGCTTGGAGAAGGGGCCCTGCGACAAAAGCTATTAAAGCAGATTTTAAACATTAACACCAATGGGCACCTCACAGAAACCTGATGCTTATAATAGTAGAATCACTCGGCTGTGTTTGTGCAATATAGGCTTGCCCTGGTTTAAACTCAATCAGTCCGATTTTCTGGGTTGGTATAGCAAACTAACCAGAGGGGGCTCGATTAATACATGTCAAGCTAAAATGTGGCCAACTGATCTATCATTGAAAGCGACACGTGGACCCAGCCGTAAAATAATTTGAATTTTGCCTTTCTGAAATACTACAGAACACAGGAATGTTAACTCACACTTGTTTTTTAATGACAGCGTGAAACAAATTCAAGTAGGGAGAACATAGCAAAGTTTGTACTGTTTGTGCTCCACAAGTATAGTTGAATTTATAGCAGGTTTCTGTTACACAGAGATGGGCCTATTCATTTAAGATGGCACGTTTGCCAGGATCAGACCCCTAGCCACATTTCACTCAGAAAACAAGGTTGACCCAAAGCTTACCCACTGAAGATGCTTTATAGTTCAGGGTTTACTCAGAAATAAATCCCAGTGGGTGGGGAAGAGTTGGTCAATGGCTTTATTTTCTTTTCAGGAACATGGTAAGGTCGCAGTCCCCTTGAGATTTGTTTATCTGGTAGTGTGCAGCAGCGGTGCCACTAGAGACTTAGGGCCCTGTTCCTTCCGTTTTCCTTTGTGGGGATGGTACTTACTTATATGCAGTGGCCCAGGGCAAATCTGATTCTGTAATTCTCAGATATGCAGGAGACTTTCCATTCGCTACAATCTAAGAGCCAGACAGGAAGAGATGTAGGCCCTTTACAAGTTTCTTGGTAGGTTGGCGGGTAGATTCTTATCATAGATGTGTCTGTTAGCAGGTAAAGAGAAAGATGTAAAAGGCGTTTTAAACTCAAGCATACGTCTATCGACAGTAACAATGATGCTTTGTTCCTATTGTTAATTCATTTTCTCTCTATTTTAATTGTATGGGTTTTAGTTCTTTCCCCTGCTATAAAAATAGGGCAAACGGTTTTCAGCCATAATGGAACAATATTACAAAACAGTCCTAACAAGGAATGCATCAGAAACAAGGTGCTTTTTTGGGGTGGGGAAACCTTACCTCAGAGGCAAAAGTACATAGCTTAATTTTAGACTCTCTTGAGGTCACACGCAATAATTTAAGTGCATCGATCTCCCTACTGGATTGTGTCATGATCACCCCCAAATTCCTGTCAGTTTGGTGATGGCGAAAAAAAAACACTTTGTAGTATTCTATCACATTAATTTAATTATGCCTTATAATTTATTCCTGTGGGGCAAATCTAACACACTTAAGAGTAGCCAGAACCTAGCTTTCATATTTTATTAAATCTAATATAGCTTCTTTTAAATGCAAAACCTGGCCAAAATCATATGCATGCATATTTGTGTCTGCCTGCCTGTATCAAAAGAATCTCATCTGGGAAAGCAATAAAATCTCCTTTGTGAATGTGGACCAAAAAAAAAAAAATCTTTTAATGAATTGCAGTAATCAGGGAGGGTTTTTTTTCTCCTTCTCTTCTTCCTTTCTTGCCCTAGAGGAAAAGGAGAAAAATAAGCCACTCCCTTCTGAAGTATTTAAAGTTAGAGAGAGAGAGAGAAAAAAGGGGGGGAGGAAATAAAACACCCCTATTCTCCCCCCCCTCTTGTGCTAGTAAAGCAACCATAAGCACACACCAAAGTCGTGGGTCTGACTAGTATGGAACTAGTTAACCTTTAACAATTTTATGCTGATGTCATAACTGAGCATGAGTACTGATTAATCCAACCTTTTCTCTCTCTCTCTTCCCCCTCCCAGTAAAAAATATTTTTATTGAGGGAGGTGGGGGGGGAGAGCCTAAGGAGAGGAGGAAAAAAAAAAGAAAGAAATAATTTAGAGCAGCCATCTTTGTTTTATGCAGAAATCTTGTCAGGTTCCCCCCAGTGCCAGGAATGTCTAAATATTGTTCATGACCACAGATCTTGGGCGATTGAAAAGAAAATATCACCACAGCAAGAAGAGGGGAAGAGGAAAAAAAAAAAGCCTGCCTTGATCCTGATTATCCTTTCTTTTTTTTTCTTCTTTTCTTTTCTTGGCTAATTTTTTTTTTTGCCTTTTTTTTAAAAAAAATTGGAGCTGATTCTGATTGCATTTTTTTTTATTATTTTTGGAAAGGAAGGGGGGGCATCTTTCTCTCTCTTTTTTTTTTTTGGAAGCTTTTAAGGAAGAGGGGGTTAAAATTAAGCCAGCCATTTTGGGTAAATATTTTTTTCCCCTCCCCCTTCTTCCTTTTTTTTTCTCTCTTCCATGGGGGGCACCCCATTTATCTTTTTTTCTTAAAACCTCGCGGGGGGGGCCTCGCTTTTTAAAAAAAATATAATTTAAGAGGCGGCCATTTTTGTTGCTTTTTTTTTTTTTTTTGCTCGGGTGGCAAAATATGATCCTCAACTCCCCACCTCAGAACTGAGAGACACCTAATTTTTTTTTTTTAATTTTCCCCCTCACCCCCCATTTTTTTAAAATTTATTTTTTTTTCTTTTGAGGGGAGGTCGTCGTCTGAGGAAGAAACCTTGCAAAGGAAGAAGAAGAAGAAGAAAAGTTGTGAGGGAAAGAAGAAGAAGAAGAAGAGTCCCGGCCATCGCATGGGACTTCTCCTCGCGGCCCCCTCCCCAAACATCCCCCACACGCCCACCGCCCCCATTTTTGGGGCGATTTTGGGGGGGAAGGATGGTTTGAGGGGGGGTCGTTTTTGAGGGGAGGGAAGGGAGCGCGAGAGGCGGGGAAGGGGGGCCGCCGCCGCCGCCCCCACCCCGCCCGCCTAGCCCGCCCGCTCGGCGGCTCGGCTCCGGTGTTCCCCCACCCATCGGCCACCCCCTCCTCCGGCACCACCACCACCACCACCACCATGGCTTCCCCTCTGAGGGAGGACGAGGAAGAGGAGGAGGAGATGGTGGTGTCCGAGCCGGAGGGGGAGGAAGACGAAGAAGAGGAGGAGGAGGAAGAGGAGGAGGAGGAGGAAGAAGACGACGAAGAAGAAGAAGCCGCCGCCGTCGTCGTCAGGAACGACAGCCCGGGCGACATCTTCCCGCCCGCCGTCGCCGCCTCAGCAGCAGCCGCCGCCGCCGTCGCCTCAGCGCAGGCGGAGGCTGCCCCGCTGACCCCCGCCGCCGCCGCCGCCTCCTCCTCCTCCACGCCGGCCGCCGGAGGGACCCAGGCGCCGCCAGGTAAATAAACAAACGGCCATTTCGACAGGGCCCCCTCCCCCCCTTCTTCGTTTCGTGAGGGAAAGAGCGAGGCTGCCCCCCACCCCCACCCCGCGCGCGCGCGAGAGAGAGAGAGGGAGGGAGGGGGGGGAAGAAAGAGAGAGGAGGGGGCGGGGCGGCTGTTGGTAAACAAGCAACGGCTTTCGAACGCCGCGGGGCCGGACGGGATGCCCGCGCGCCCAGCGCTGAGGGACCCCCCCCCTCAACACACACACACACACCGCGCGCGCCAACTCCCCCCCCTTTACCTCCCGCCGCGCGCGCGCGCCTCCTTCCCTCCCGCCTTTTCTCTCGCTCTTCCTTTTACCTCTCCTCCCCCCCCCCGCGGCTGGATTCCCGGAACAGCCTCTGGTTGCACTCCCCCCCCCACCCCGTCTCGCTCTCTCTCTCTCCACATACCTATCGGGGGGGAGAGAGGGTGGGGTGGGACCTCGCGAGGCCAGCCAGACGCGCCCCTCTCAGGCGGCGGGAGGAAAGTCCTCCTCGGGTCCGGCCTCGGGGCTTGGCTCCGCCTGGGCGTGGGAGGGGGGGGGTTGTCTGTGAGGGAGGGGAGAGGGAAAGGGGATCATTGTCCCCCCCCGGGGTCTGTGAAAGAGAGGGGGAGAGGGCATCTTTGCCTCCCCCATGGAGTGTGTGGAGGGGATCATGGCCCACCCCATGGAGTCTGAGGGAGGGGAGAGGGGATCATTGCCCCCCCAATGGGTCTGTGAAGGAGAGGGGATCATTGCCCCCCCCATGGAGTCTGTGAGGGAGGGGAGAGCGGATCATTCCCCCCCCCCAAGGGGTCTGAAGGAGAGGGTATCATTGCCCTCCCCCTAAGAGGTCTGTGAGGAAGGGGAGAGGGGATCATTGTTCCCCCATGGAGTCTGTGAGGGAGGGGAGGGGAGAAGGGATCATTGCCCCCCCCAGAGGTCTGTGAAGGAGAGGAGATCATTGCCCCCCCCCACATGGAGTTTGTGAGGGAGGGGAGAGGGGATCATCCCCCCCAAGGGGTCTGTGAAGGAGAGGGGATCATTGCCCTCGCCCTAAGAGGTCTGTGAGGGAGAAGAGGGGATCATTCCCCCCCCCCATGGAGTCTGTGAGGGAGGGGAGAGGGGATCATTGCCCCCTCAGGGGGGTCTGTGAAGGGGAGGGGAAGCGAAAAGGGGGAGAGGGAATCAGGGCCCCCCTTGCCCTCCTCACAGTGTCTGGGGGTCCCTCCATTGAGGGATGGAGAAAAAGAGGGGTGGCTTGGGGATCCATTTCCCGGTGGGGAGGGTTCTCATTGACGAGGGGGAAAGAGGGGTCACGGTGTAGAAGTAGAAAAGGGGGTGCTGGGATGGCTGGGCATTTGGGGGGGGCGGCAGAGGAGGGAGGGAGAGGTGCCTGTTAGGGGATAGGGGCTGAGGTGATCTCTTGAGGGAAGGGAGAGAGGCGATGACCGGGCCCCCCCCCCACTCAAAGTGTCTAGTGGCCCATCTTCTGGGCCCATGTGGAAATGGCACCCATTGTGGGATGGAGGAAAGAGGGAGGTGTATAAGTAGAAAAGGAGGGGCTGGGGTGACAGGGCACTTGAGAGGCCTGTTTTTGACACCCCATAGGAAGGAGGGATGTCTGTCAGGGTGGGGTGAGGCTGTCTCTGAGGGAGGGGCATTTGAGGGGATCGTTGCCCCCTTTCACAGTGTCCGGTGGCCCCGTCTCCTGGTGGAGAGGACTCCCATTGTGGGATGGGGGGGAAGAGGGGTGACTTGGGGGTGTATAAAGGAGTGTTGAAGGGACAGGAGAGCTGGGCCCTTCAGCTGCCTGTTTTGGCACCCCATAGGAGGGAGGGGATGGGGCCTGAGGCAGTGTTTGAGGGAGGGGAGGTGGAGGGGATCACTGTCCCTCACTATCTGGGGGCCCAACTCCTGAGCCTGTGGTGGGGATGGTTCCCATCACGTGACGGGGAGGGGGGGAAGAAAATGGTGGTGCTGGGTTGACTGGGCATTTGAGGGCTCTTGGCCTGGTTTGACACCATAGGTTGTAGGGAGGGATGCCTGTTGGGATGGGTGCTGAGGGAGGGGCAGGGGGAACTACTAACCCCACCTCAGACTGTCTGCAGGCCTGTCTCCAGGGCCTGTTGGGGATAGCTCCCATTGCAGGATGGGATTGGCCATCCATGGGTGGGTGGGGGGGAAATGAGAGGTCACCTGGGGGTGTATAACCAGAAAAGGGACTGCTGGGGGGATGGCTGGGCGTTGGAGATGTCTGGCCATATTTTGATACTCTTCATCAGGCAGGAAGGATCCCACTTATGGGCTGCAGGCTGATATGCACAGAAATTGTGGGGGATGAGCAAGGGGTTTTAAGGATGCTGTGCCCTGCTGAACTTGGCCAGACTTCCCTTGACCTGAGCTGGCTTTCCAGCCTATTATGGGCAGCTTTTCCTTGCCAGTCCTGGAGCTTTAAGGCCTCTGGCCAAGAGTTTGCAGTGATCGTAGAGGGAGAGTTCCAAAATCCAAACACCAGGTACAAATGAATAAAAACCTACCTCCCATACAGGTGTGTGACCTTAGAAGGCCTAACAGGTGTCCAAATCCAATTCACATGAAGTGTTTTGTTGTAAAGCTTGGCCAAAAAAAAAATCTATCCTGTGGGCCACCGGGAGTCAGAAGGCAAGTCCATCTGCTGTTTAGAGTAAATGAGCGTGCCAAAAGGAAAGATGGAGAGGTTCGGAGCCAAACGGGCGACGCCAGGCCAAGCGTCACATAAAAAAACCCCCTAAAAGTCATTGTGAAAATAAAAACCCTTCTAAAACTTTTAAAGGCCGCAAGTTTCAAAGTCGTGTTTGGGGAACTATTTTGCCTATGAAAAGGGTGCAAAAGGGAAATTAATTGAAATTTGTTTAGACAATGTTAAAAGTGACTTCTGGTAGTCCCACTAAGGATATGAAATATTGTATAGATAGTGTCTTCCCTGCAGATATTTAGCAGGGAAGGTTATTTATTCTCTTGCTTCTAGTTTTAAGGATAACGTAAACTTCATGAGAAGGAAAATAGCTTTCTATCACATCGGGTTTGTACTTTGGTTCATTTTGGCCAAAGGTTGCTGGGAATTCTAAGTTGTGTCCCCCATCGCTGTAGGAGAGCCTCAACTTATGACTCCAATTGAGCCCAAAATTTCCGTGGCTAAGTGAGAGTCATTAAGTGAGTTTTGCCCCATCTTACGACTTCCCTTGCCACGGTTTTTAAGGAAAGCATTGCACCTGTTAATAACAGCAGTTACTAAGTGAATCTAGCTTTCTTTTGACACTGCTTCTCCAAAGGTCGCAAAAGGCGATCACATGACCCATGGGTCACTCCAGTCCTAAACAGGAGTCAGCTGCCAAGAGCCTGAAATTGTGATCACATGACCCAAGGGGAGGCTGCAACTGGTCGACGGTGTGAAAAACGGTCATAAGCCACTTTTTTTCAGTGGTGGTGTAACTTCGAATGGTCCCTAAACGAATGATTGTAAGTTGAGGCCTACCTGTATTGTGCGATGTGCTTCTTTGTTATTTACCTGTCTGCAAGGGTGGTGTTAACTGTCTCGGATAGGCAGTACCATTTTCCTTTTTTTTTTTCCTGTCTCTTTTTTTTTTTATAACACACGGTTAGCTTTACAGAAATTGTTGGCTTATCGATTTGTTGTTTGGTTGATGGCTACAAAAGTCACCAGGGTAGCTTTTCCGATGACAGCCCCGTTGAAGGCGAGCGCCTTGATTCGTATCAGTCTGGGTGCGTGTATATATATATATATACCCACACACTAATGTGGATGTGCCAGACAACAGGTTGACTTAATTACCTGTCGATTGATGGGCTCTTCCCACGTGGCTTTAGCTGCCCCCCGTGACTGGCAGCCCCACATACGAGGGGCTCTTCCTACGAGGGAAAATTGGATTGCTCCTTAAGCGTCCCTTTTGTCCTGCCTTTGATTTAATGGTGGACCCTCCGTCGATAATTCTCCGCGTTAAGGAATTAGACCGATCCCTACGAGAAGCTGATCTATAGCGTTGTAGTCTCCTTTCTTTCTTTCTTTGGGTTGTTGGGTTATGGATGGCATCCATCCTTTCAGACTATGGAAGAAAACCTATTGTCAGAATTTAAAAATAAAAATAATAATCTAGCAGTCTTCTGTATTTAGCGGTAGATCTTTTGCGACAAGTTGGTGTTGGGGTGGCACGGCCGCCTTCCTTGTTGGTGATTCTACAATCCATTATTTATCGGGTCTCTATTATTTACTGGGATGGAAGCAGCAACTCCAAACTCCTAAATACAAATCCAAGGGGATTAAAAAAAAAAAAAACCTACAACCTTGTAAATTAGATAACGGTTCCCGTAACCGGATGGGATGAATCTTTTGGGCTTTCATTATCCTTCAATGTATTGGGCATCCTTGTTCGTAATGCTTACCACTCCGGGTTTTCAACCGCTGGTGTTGCCGTAGAAGCAAATAATAAATGCAAAGATTTACATTTTGGTCTTATTAAAAAAAAGAAAGAAAGAAAGAAAAAAAAGAAGCCTCAGTCCTTTGATCATGTTTTATCATGGCTTCTTAGTGGCCTGCCTCTGGGGAAGTGGCGTTACTGCGATTATTGCCGAGACCACTCAAACACAAGGACTGAGCATGGAGGGGAGATAGGAGACACAAGCCATAAGTAGGGATGTATTAGGCTAAAGTATAAAGGGACTTAGAAAAGGGGGTGGGGGGATTGGGCCCCCTCAGAAGGAAAAGAAAGGAGGAAGGGGGGGTGCTGCTGAGAGAAGATGGAAGGATAGGAACAGGCGGATGAGGAAAAATAAGAACTTTTCAGTCTGTAGAGATCCTCGGGCATCCAGGTCGCGATTGTCCCAGAGGTGCATTTTTTCAGGAGGCAACAAGACAGTGGGGAATGGAAGGATGTATCCTATTATTTATCCACCATCCAGTCAGAGCTGAAGAAGCTTCTCGGATGAGAAGCG